TCAGTTGTGTTTCATTTACTGCAATCTACAGTGCTATCAGAGGCCGTGCAGAGGGCAGTGCTCTGGCCAGAACTATGCTGTGAGTACTGCCCACAGGCAGCTACAGTCTGGAGTTGAACTTTCAGCATTTTTGAATGAAGTCTGCTGCCCTAAGAGTGAAGGCCTGAACATTAGGCTCTGTATAATCAATAAATATTAAGATAGTGTATTGTATAATTAAAGAATATTAAGATGCTATAATAATGAAATAATGAGAGAGTTAAGCAAAGCAAGACAAAGAGAATAAATAGGATACTTACCTGCACACTAGGCTCACTCAGGAAACTCCAGCAGAGTGGATCTCCAGAAGAGATCCTTACCTACTGGTAGTCAGCTCTTAAATGGGTCTAGGAGAGGTGCAGCCAGCTCCACCCCTTCCTGCAGCACAGGTGAATTGCCTTCACCTGTCCTCCCAGGGCTGACTCATTGCTCGCCTCAGATGATCAATCAGAGGTTCAGGCCAAGACTCAGCAGTTTCCATACAGCTCCTAGACCTGTTTTCAACTGCCTAGATGGGGTAAGAGAGGAGAGGTTTGATAGCCAGATAAACCTGGCTATCTACTACAACTGGATGCTTGAGGGGATTTTCTTGACTTGCTAGCACAGCATTTTCCAGAGAAGCGTGACTGTAACTTGTAACCAGTCGCTCAGAAAACGGCTCTGATTCTACAGCTTGAAGAAAGGCAGAAGTACTGAGCATAACTTTGTCATGTGGGAAAATACTTTGAGACTATTCTAGAAGAGTTAGGGAGTGTCACATCCCCCCTTAAGGGGAAGGAAGGTGGTCCTGTACAGAGAATGAGTGGCACAGCTGTGCTGGAATCTCTTTTTGAGATAAATGATCAAGAGCAGTAGGAGTCATGCTTCTTTCTTTGCTGTCACTGTATTTGTGTGGAACATCAAGTCCGTCTGGACTGACCCCTGTGGATTTCGGGGTGTTCCACACTCCTCCAGCTTCTGTGTTCCCTTTATGTACGCTTAATTCCCAGCATCTCCCCTTCAATAGTGACAAAGTTATAGTGATTATTTATGATCAAACTTGCCTCTTTGTTTCCAGGAGCTCCCAACACAGCAGAACTGAGAATTTGTCGTGTGAATAAGAACTGTGGAAGTGTAAAGGGAGGAGATGAAATCTTTCTTCTGTGTGACAAAGTTCAAAAAGGTAACCTTGGCTAACACTTCCCTTACTCCAAATGGCTAACACTCCACTTTCTAGCAGAGGAACTGAAACTCTTCACTGTACTCCTATATAAGTGGTGTGCTTTTAGCTGAGCAGAATCAATTTCAGGTTCAGGAGCTCTAAGTACCTCTGAAAAATATTCTGTGCCTTAAAGTCAAGCCATTCAATTTGCCTCTGAGTTCTGAGTCTGACTCCTTTCTTTGTTACCCTTTTCACCTCTTCTGCTGCAAGTTTTCAGTTTTCTTCAGCTTAACAAACATCTTCTGTTTCTAATGAACTAGATGACATAGAAGTCAGATTTGTCTTGGACAACTGGGAAGCAAAAGGCTCCTTCTCCCAAGCTGATGTTCATCGCCAGGTCGCAATTGTGTTCAGAACACCGCCGTTCCTCAGAGACATCACGGAACCCATCACGGTGAAGATGCAGTTACGAAGACCTTCAGACCAGGAAGTCAGTGAACCAATGGATTTCAGATACCTACCAGATGAAAAGGGTATGGTTCCCATTAGCTGGATTTCTTAAAGGTTATTTTCAGTGCAGAATTCTTGTTGACAGTGAACAGTAACTTACTGAGTTAAAAAAAGAACAAACAAAACTATACTATTATTACAATGTAGATTTTGGAGTTTTTTCTAAAACTAACAATAGCCAGTTTGCTCTCTTTTTCAGTGAAAGTATCAAGAGTTATGGTTAATAACACTTCTTTGGTTTTCTAGAGTATAGCTGTATCTCAAATATTTCTCTTTAAATACGTTTTACTACAATAGGGAGCCACTAGTCAAGTTTTAGAAACTTATTTTTACAAAGTATTTCCAAAGGTATTTTAATTAACACAGTTTTTCATCCCACTCCTTTCATTGTAGATCCGTATGGTAACAAAGCAAAAAGGCAAAGATCAACGCTGGCTTGGCAAAAGCTCATACAGGACTGTGGTAAGGAAAATACTCTTTTTTTTTTTTTTTTTTTTTTTTTTTTTTTTGTCTGAGTAAACTTAACAGTTACGAAGAATCATTTTGTTTAAAAGTAAACCTTCAAAGTAGATTCATGCTTTCTTCTGTCACAGGATCAGCTGTGACAGAGAGGCCAAAAGTGGCTCCTATCCCCACTGTCAACCCTGAAGGAAAGCTGATTAAGAAAGGTAAATTTCTGCTCGCGTGTCCCAGTCCAGCAGCAGACGGGAGCAAACAATGTCTGCTGAAGGGAGAGGCTGGCACTTTCAGGAGAGAGCACTGAAGTTCCCGAGGCAGCAGCAGTACCAGTCTCTCACTACTCCTGAGCTGGAACTTTCTCTTTCCCCAGGAGAGCAGTATAGTCCTTTCAACATAAAGATTAAATTTAAATGAAATCAAAATTATATTAAAAGCCTCCTTAAGAAGTACTTGCTTTAGTTGCTACTTAAATTTAAGTTAAGTGCTTAAGTTAAGTGCTTTAGTTATGTGCTGATTTTCGCTAGGTTCAGACACTTTCTTTCAGACATAAGGCTCAGTTATTGGCCTCCCCATCTCTTTGCTTGGAACCTGTAATATTTTCTCAAAATTTTCTTCCTGTAAAGTAAGCCTACCATTCTTTAGTTAAATGTAAGCTGTTCTCTTAGAAGGGGAACAAGGCACATAGCTGTCCCGAAGTACAGTGTACCTGGACAGCATTTAAGCAAGTGCTGATCCGCAGGTAATCACATTAAGCTAGCACTGGCTTTTTTTTTTTTTTTTTTTTAACCATTTGTAACTTAACATAAAAAATGGCGTAAGAATTCAGTAATATCTTTCCTTTTCACAGAACCAAATATGTTTTCCCCTCCGCTGATGCTGCCTGGGCTAGGAACGCTGGCGAGCTCCAGTCAGATGTACTCCACATGCAGCCAGATGCCCACCCAGCCTGCGCAGCTTGGCCCTGGGAAGCAGGACACACTCCCCTCCTGCTGGCAGCAGCTGTACAGCCCTTCCCCTTCAGCCAGCAGCCTGCTCAGCATGAACCCACACAACAGCTTCACAGCAGAAGTGCCTCAGCCCGGTGCTCAGGGCAGTAGCTCTCTCCCGGCTTTCCACGATAACCCACTGAACTGGCCTGATGAGAAGGATTCCAGTTTTTACAGGAATTTTGGCAGCACAAATGGGATGGGAGCAGCGATGGTGTCAGCTGCAGACATGCAGAGTGCTTCCAGTAGCAACGTCGTCCACGCCACTCATCAGGCCAGTGCTACTGCTGCGAGCATCATGAACATGGAGACCAGTGACATGAACTGCACCAGTCTCAACTTTGAAAAGTATACTCAGGTGTTAAATGTAAGCAACCACAGGCAGCAGCTCCATCAGCTGCCTGCGACATGTCCACCTCTGGCAGCCCCTGGCAGCACTCCCTTCAGTTCACAACCAAATTTAGCTGATACAGTTTACAGCAGCTTTCTAGACCAAGAAGTTTTAAGTGATTCAAGACTATCAACCAACCCTCTCCAGAACCATCAGAACAGCCTTACCCTTACAGATAACCAGTTCTATGACACCGACGGTGTCCACACCGATGAGCTCTATCAGTCTTTCCAGTTAGATACAAACATATTACAAAGCTATAACCATTGATCCAGCAGTAGGCTGAGGCAGGCACATAGAGCTTTTCCAAGGAGTAACTCACCCTTCTGCTTTCTCTTTCAGAATGCTACTGTGCAAATCTCATGATATAACTTAAAGTTATATATATCAATCAGCCCAAAGACTGGTGCCCATGAAGAAGCATTTGGGGTGCTGTACCTTCAAAGCTCTTTTTAAACATTTTTATGGTGTTGGAAAAAGGAATTACTAATACTTAAAGCATTGGGAAGAAAAGCTGGTATCTTCAGAAGGGTCAAATTTCCAATAATTCACAGGGTTAATACTGTCTAAAAATAAAACATTTTGCTACGGAAATTGAATTAACATTTCAGAAGGACAAACTAGGAAAAAACTGCACGTTGGCACTCTAGTTCAGACTCACCTAACATTAATGTACTATTCAACTTGCTTGAAAGATTTAGGTTTCTTACCCTCTTTCACATAAAATATTTTTCTCCTAAAACAAAACCACGCATTGATTTTTTTTTCTTTTTTTTTTTTTTTTCATGTTTCACCACATTCCATTTGCTTTCAAGGCAAATTTACTCTAAAGAAATTTAATGACTATGTCATTGTTAGATATGTTTTAAAGACCGGAAGGTTTGAGTTTTTAAATAGTCCAGCTCTGTTGTAAATGCATCACTGCACAGAAGAATGAGCAGAAAGTAACGACTTCTCTGCACTTCATCCCGAGTGCACTATTTTAAATGATAAAACCCTGTTGCTTTAGGAATGGAGCATGCTGTTATTTCTCTGGAATTTGTTTATTGTGTGTGTGTGCGTGTGTAGCCATGATGCGCATTTTATTTTGAACTACAGAAATGTATTGAGTCAGAGCACCTACCTGTTCCTTCCTCAGATGGCCCAGCAGTTTCCTGCTATGCAAGTGACTGCTGACAGGCTCAGGTCTGGCTCCCTACCACTCCTCACGGGAAGAGGTGAAATGCAGCCCACCCCCAATGCGCTGTATGAACAATGTGAGGCCGTTCAGTCAGTGTCAATTGAAAACAGCCTTCAGTCCGCAGTATCGAGAACCAGAGCTTCCTCTCTTCTGCTGGCTTCCCAGTCTCCTCTCTGAGGCCTGAGGCACGAGATGTCCAGTGACACCTCGCATAGGTATTTGGCTAGGTAAGGCACTCAAGTCTGTGTTAGGGCTTTGCTATTTTATTACTAATGTACAAAGCAACACAGCAAGAAATATATCAGTGTATTTATTTATACGGCTGGTTATTGTGGCAGATAAGGCTTAAGAACTTAATTTTTACTGCACCATGGGAAAAAAGCAATAAATAGCACGCCTGGATATGTAGGGAACAGAAACCACAAGCACGGGACAAGAAGCCACTTGAGATGTACAGTCATACACCAGATAGAAAGGAACTCCGAAAGCCTCCATGGTTTAAGGGAAAGCAGTAATTACTCAAGGCAGTAATTCACTGTGCAGAGCAGTGAGGTGCCACAGCTGTAATGCATTACATCAATTTCACAGGTCTGACAGAATGCGCTCTTCCACAGTGTACAAATGAAGTCTGGAAAACTGCTCCCCATGACCCCATGTACCCAACTCCATACTTACAGCAGTTTTTCTCACTTCTGCAACACACCTTTCCAGGAGCATGAAAGAGATACAAAGAACGCTTGCAGTGTGTCATTTATTCAGTTCTTCCTTTTTAAGTTCTCAATGTTTAAGTTTATTGAATGTAAACATTTTCTTTATAGAATGCTCTTTATAGCACAATTTGTTTTTACAGTATAATTAAATATTTTCAAAATTCTGTTTTCCTTTGTAAACAAGTTGGTTTGGTAATTAAAGAACTGGTTATACTGAGTCCTGACCTTCTTCAGCCTTCTCAGCCTTGCATCACTATAAGACATGTTAGAGAAGCCAGGCAGAGGTGCTGCTGGGATTTGCTTATCCTGGGTCTTCCTAGAATATTTTACGTTATGTTCACAACTGCTGCTGGCCACACTGTAGTAAGGAGTCCTCAGCACTTGGCAGTTCTTTGTGGCACATGTAGCATGACTGATGGACAGAGAGGACAGAGGCACTCATGTTCAGCCAAGGCAGTGCTACAGGTACAGCTTCATGCAGCAGGGGGTTTGCTTTGGGTGAGCAGCTACTTGGAGAAATACAACAGCTTCATCCAAGTCCTTCTGGTATGAAGAAATATGATAAGGAACACTGTTTGGCTCTTAGATTTTAGCATTTACACATAATCTGCTAGAAAACATCTACCTGTTTCACATTTATCACAAGAATAAAATTAAATCTTGCTCTTACTACTCTTAGGAAATGTCCTATTGGAGTATTCACAAATACGTATTTAAAAACAAGATGAAGTGTCTCTGAACTGTAACAGGAGCAGGAGTCCCAGTTAGCACCATTTCCCCTTTGGGACACCTCTTCTAATGTCTGTTTTGTCCAGCCTACATGTGTTTCCAGTGTATAGAACTTATATATCCTTTGTGTCAAGAAATAACACAGTAGCCTGAAGTTCTCTTTTCCTTCTTTTCTGAATAGTTTCTGAAGCTTTTCATCATTCACAACAGTTCCCTTCTGGGCACAGATTTATGTATGAGACAACTACTCCCAGAATCAGTTCTCATAACAGCCCTATGACTGAAAGTGAGAGAATCTTGCTGTCTGAATCATGGTTCTTATGATTTTTGCATTTAAAACATGGGAGCTTCTGAACAACTACTGTGCTTTCTTATGTCACTGTGGACTATAAAAACAAATGAGGAAAGTTTTGACAGCCCATGACAAAGTATATAAAATTCAGGCTAATTTTTCAAGATGAGTTTTTAAATGGGCCTTCTGAGCCTTCAACTGAAGTTACCACCTAGCTGTTCTACCACGAGGTCCTGGCAGCACTGACTTCACGGTAACATCTCCATAATCTTTCACTGCCCCCACTGTTTTCCCTGAAAAATAATTACCCTTTATTTCTGAAATGTTCATTAATGAAGAGCCCTTAAACTCCAAACCGTAATTTCCTGAGATTCTTAGTATCCCTATTTTTCTCCAGCATTCCACCATGCACTGTTGCCAGGAATCCTCAGCCTTACGGTGACTCAGGGAAATCCTCTGCATGAAGAGGCCTGCAATTCAGCCAAAGAGCTCCTGAGGAGGCAAACACCTCAAACAGAGTTTCTACAAAACATCACTGGTGTTTTTAATTGAGAGAAACTTGGTTTTAAGTGCAAAGTTCTCATCTGGAAACTCTTCTTGCTTTGAAAAGTACTGTGGGAAGCACATCTGCCCATCTCTGAAACCAATGCTGATCAAAAAGCAGCTGGCACAGAGCAGAACACCACCTCCTTCCAGGCACTGTCCTATGGGCTTGGTTAACAGTCCTGCATGAATAGTGCTCAGAAAGTGTTAGAGCTGCACTTCAGGTGATTCAGTGCTGTCCGCACCCAGACAAGAAAGCTGCACCATTAAATATAAAAGCAATAATAATAATAAAAAAATCTAGCTTTATCGTTTAATTTTTAATTAAACATTTCAAACGGTACTGCATTAAGCATATTTTTTGTACCTACTTAGCACACCATTTGTTTTTCTTCACAGATTTTTAAAAGAAGATTTGTTATCAATACATTAGCTTGCCAAAATGGTTGTATGCACAGAAGAAAATTTTTTAAAAGCCAGATATTAAATGAACACAACCTGAGTGAATTGATTCAAAGGAACAGAATCCTTTGGCAGATCAACATGATCCAAATATTCAACAAAAATACTTTGCAACCAGTTGTAATACTGTACAGGCTTCAGTAAACTGCTGCTGACGAGGAGCTGTTGTGTGACATCCCAACTTGTGAAGCTAATTCTCCAGGGCTGGAGGCCAGTCAATGTCAACAGACTGGAAGAGCAGGAAAAGAAGGTAAAAATCAGCAGATTTGGCAAGTCTCTTTCTATTCATAGAATACCATCTCTGTGCTTGTCAGCTACAGGTTAATATACTGGAAAGCAACAGTAAATAGACATGATGTGACAAGAAGGAGAAAGTGGCAGAAAACAGCCACTTTCTTCTAGTGGCCTCAGAAGTGTCTGGAGAGCATTTTTTGGGAGCAAGGTTTTCTTTACAAAGCAGAATTGCAACTACTTGTACTACAACTGCCCAGCATCTGTTGCTGTCGGGCACCATTTGCCAAGTGTGCAAAGCTGCTATTTCAAAGTGTGAGCCATGTGAGAGCAGTGCTTATCAGCCCTAGCCAAGTTAGACACTCCTGTTTTCAGAGCTAACTGAAGTGTCCTCCGCAAGCTCTCTTTCTGTATTATCCTACCAAAGATACACAAAAATCTGCAAGTCTGTTCTGCAAGAAGTAACATTTAGACAGTTTTCTAGAAATATATTAAAACAAGCATGTTGATAACTGGCTACCCAAAGTGAAAACTTATGTTTTAAATAGACCTTGCCAAGCCACTAGGTTCAATGTTAAATTCAAATCACAACATACATTCTTTTAATCAAAATAAATGTTGTAGTTACGGGTTATTATCTACCCAATCTGACTCTAGTAAGTGAACACTTATACTTAGTTTGAACGAGTGGTAAAAAGAGGAAGTCAAGTCTTTCCTATTTTTCATCCAACTTCTTTTTCAAAAGAAATGATGTAAACATAATACGAAAAGAAAAGGTTCTGTTCCAATGGATAGTAATAATAAGTGTCATGAATTCAAGGTACATCCTCTCATCCTTCCCCTGAACTATCTCAGCAGAGGAAATCCCACATGACAAAAGCACGTGGCAGCATGGTACAAACCATCATCTTTGCACAAATGTCAAATTTTCTATTAACTGTGGTAAGAAATGTTGATTTAGTTAGATTAAATTCACTTTTTAGTGATTTTTTAGTGAAAGAGCCTCACAAATGTAATTACATTACTAATTTCCAGGAAAGTGGAAAATAATGAACAACTCACTTCTACATCCAACTCCAGAATGTCCGTGGTTCTGTTCAGCAGGGAACCAATATTTGGCTTTGTTCTTCCAAAGTCTCCATGCACAAATTCTTTAACATAGCTAAAAACAGCAGTTAAGGAAAGGTCTATTTCACCACAAAGAACTAAAAAAAGAAAAAAAAAAAAAAAAAAAAAAGGGAAAAAAAAAAAGGAGAGGGGAGAAGAGGGGAGGGGAGAATGGTGGAAAAGTCAAAGCAAAAATAGTGTCTTTTTCTACTCCTAAGCCAATTTACAGCGGACATCCTGCTAAGCCCATACCCATCTTAAAAGACTACTAATTCTTGGCTTTTGACTCCACTGCCAAAAGTTGTATTATCAGTCCCTATTTTACATCTTATTCCAAAGTGAGTGGCAACTATGGCTAAGGTTCTGAGTATAAACAATCCACAATATGCATTACAGGGCATTAAATACTGTGGAAAAGTTATTTTCTAAGGTAAAAAATTTTCAGTTGAATTAAAGGGGCTTAAGTGTACCTTCAACCAATACATTTATATAGATATCATATACTTTAGAACTATCAGAGTGGTCATAAAACAAAACAAAACAAAAAAACCACACAAGTGGATGTGAAATTCTGACATAAAAACAAATATCAGCAACACGAGACTGCTGAAGAGCAGATTTAGAAACACTGCAAAGATAAAAGCAGGAAACTTCCCCCTGTTTAAAGTATCCTAATCAACCATCAATAAATGTGTTGAGTAACAGCACTGAAGATACGTTCCTGCTTGTGTTTTCAGATGCAGGCGAAAGTGATGCTCATCTATGTACTCAGACTTCATGGTGTGAATGATTCGACATCTTAAAGCCAGAGGCCTTCTGTGAAGAACCCGGAGAGGTGTCTTCTGGTCAAGTTTTAATTCCTATTGCAAGAGGTAAGAAAATAACTGAGGAAGGAAGCATGCAACATCCTGCACACATGGAGCATTAGCCAATCACATCTCTTCTTATTCTGTGTTAAGGGAGTTGAGAAATCTCCTCATGGAACGACTGATTTTTTTTATTATTATTATTTTTTGTTTACCAAAGGAAAAAGAACAGCCATCTCAAAAGCTTTATGAGAAGGTCTCATATGAAGACAATGTAATGGAATCACAAATACAGAATAACCTTGAAATCTCAATGGTCATTTGCTGGAATAACTCCAGGATTGAAAATCACACTGAGAGCCTCAGGCTATCTAAATTAAAATAAAAATCCCCCACACAAAATGCATTGTCTAAAGCACAGCTTTAGAAACAACAGTGAGGGCAAAAAGAAAAACTGTAATAAGATCTCATAATAGACTTTTTAAAAGCTCATTCCCTATTCTCATCCCCTTCCCCAAATAAGATGCAGCAGTTTGAAAAGTAACCTTTCAGGAAGGGGATAGGCAGGCTTAAAAAAAACAATGAACCACCACCACCACCAGAAACAGCTCACAATAGCTGCTATCCTGAACTGCAGTGTTTTTAGTTGACAGTTGAGAATCATTTCACGGCCAAAGCCTATAGGCAACAGTGCAATGCTACAAAGACTGACAACATTCCTTCAACAGCACTGCCTCTCTGACCTACATTTGGAGGAATTTCTTATTGGCAAAGCACACCTGTTATACTGAGCACTTGCTTAAGCCTTTTTGCACTACTTTCCATACACCTTACAAACTCCTGACTGCTGCAGCTGCAAAAGAAGAGCTCTAGAACATGCAGAAAAAGACCATCACCATTCCTTTTACTTCATACATAATTTGACAGAAAGAAAGGAGTGCTAGAATTCCCCTCTTCCATTATTTTTTACTAACTGGTCTTCTGAAAGGCCAACATGATACGGTAATTTGTCTTGGTTAACAAACAACTATAGTGCTGACATGGCAATGACGAAATGAGTGAGAAGGGGGAAGTGAAAAGAGGTACAAAAGTCTCTAGAATCTTGATCAAAAACAAGCAGCAGAGAAAGAAATACATCCATGAGTGCATTTATATAAACTCTCCTCTAAAATACCAGGAAAGGCACTATATAAATTATCAAGAAGAGCTACACAAACCTTGATATTATCTAGAAATGCAATATGTTCTTTCTGTATTGTTTTGTCTGTCCATATTAAGGCACTATAGGTCTTTGTTTTTTCCTCTTCACCTTCCTTCATACGACCAATTGCCTCTCTAAACAAAAGAAATGAATTACATAGCACACAAATAACCTTATAATGATATGAGCAAGAATGCTTTGCAGAACTCCCGAAGCATCACACTAAAATCCCTTGCCAGTGATGATAAATACTGACCTGGTGACAAGTTGTAAATCTCGGACCCGTATTTTGTCTGAAGAGTAATTAATTGTCTGTGACATTAAAAAAAAAAAAAAGAAAAAGAAAAAAAAGAATCAGTTAGGAAAACTGCTCAGTTAGAGAAGAAATACATACTTTATGAATTCCACAAGGTGCAAATTATTTACCTGCTGAAGTCTCTTCATTTCCTCAGCAGTAAAATGTATTCTATGAGGGTTCACAAGCTCAATTGCAAAAGGCCTTCCTGGAAACATGCACAATGATAAAATATAAAAACATACTGTTCTAAATTAATGTTTGAATTTATGCATAAGGTCAGAAGGTGTGAAAATTGTCTGCTGTTATGCAAAGAGAGATAAGAACTTGTGGGTTTAGGGATGTAGCATCAGATGGAAGGAAAGAAACTAGGGGACTTTTTTGGCTATTAAACCACAGTATCAGCAATAAGTGCAAATTACAACTTCCCAGAAGGCATCTTGTAGAAGTCTGTGCTAATTAAAAAATAAAATAAGAAAAAAAGTTAATTAGCTTATTTTCTGTCACCTATAGCAATGCCCAGGTGCAAGATGATGTTAAATCCCACTCCCTCAGCTAAACATCTGTTGCAAGAGCTGTACTTTCTATGCTCAGGGCCAGGGATGATCCCCAGGATAAGCAGTGCCAAGAACTGCACTACAAATCAGTCAGCAACTGGAACACATCATTGTTAGTTTTCACTTTTTCTTCTCTCCTCCTCTGGATTGTAGATTCAGCATATTTTCCAATACCTTTAGAAAAGCAGCCAAGTTCAAAAAAAACAAGTCTTCCCCAGTCCCCAGTGACAGTGAAGCAAAGTACAGGGACTCAACAGAAAACAAGACAGGAATCTGTCTGACACAAAAGATATAAAGATAGGAAGCAAATAAAATACTTCTAACCAGTTGTGCTTTTCCATGCACCTGTGTAGCCAAGGACACTGAAAAAGGTCTACTTTTTCAGTTCTTTTTGTGAAACGGTTCAGTCTTTAGGAATAAATACATAAATATCACTAAAATGTTTCCAAGATAAAATTTCAAAGTATGTCTAGTCACACACTTAAGCATTTAGCCTTCAGCAAGGTCTATTAAGAAAGCTTCAGTTAACCTTTTTGTTTGTTTATGTGCTTTATCGAGGATGTTTCAAGCCTTACCATTGCCTAGTGTTCTTACATCCACATCTTCTCTTCCAGAGGAAGAAAAATTAAAGCCTATAACAGAATTGAACAAGGAAGTTTATTTTACATTTTAATACCCTCCACAGCTTTGAAAAGGTGAGATATTCTAAGCTACTTTAAAATACACTAGAAATAGTTACATTAATAAAACGAAGCCTGCACAGTATTTGAACAAATCAGGGTATAGTTACTGTTTATTTCTTCAGGTTCACAAATTTCTTGAAGAACACTAATTCTTTGGCCTGAATGTGACAAATCTGAATATGCCCAACAAAGTAGTACCATCCTAAAGGAATTCCACTTACTAATTAATTTTGTTCATAACCCAGATACTTCAACTCTATGAATAAAATCAAACTAAGCTGTCTTCATCAAAAACACAACTTTTAATCCTAAATACACCCACAGATGTCAGAGAAATTTCTGCTAGTCATATGCACCTGGACAGAAGAAAATTCAAGTCCAATATGAAAGATAACCGCTGTGTATTTCTTTCCTGTTATTCAATCTATGAATTGCTGCATATTTAGTTTCCTTTGTCATATCCCTTCCACCTTTAAGCTTTGCCTGAAGGAGTGCAGGGGAACACTAAACACTGAACTAGAAAGTAACTTTGCAGCTCTGCTCCAAAGGATCTTTGAAAAACTTTCACTTTTTCCCCCCCATACTGAACATACAAGAGCACAAAAAGATTTCCTATTTTTTGTTATCCCTCACTTCTCCAGTCATGCTATGGCAACAAAACAACAGTGAGAAAATTTTCCTATGTTCCCGGTTTTACGCTCCCAACACTACCAGAATTTTCTGAGTTGGGACTTTCCTTGTACAAAACATGTTCCAGACCCTTAATTATCCTCACAGTCCTTTGATGGTCTCACTTCATTATGTCCAGGTCTTTCTTGTTCTGGGGAGCTCTGAACCAGGCACATTTCAACACTGCTAAGAAAAAGAGGAAGATCACCTCCCTTGACCTGCTGGCAGTTTTCCTCCTATATCATGGGTGTCCAATCTTTTGGCTTGCTTGGGTTGCATTTAGTGAACTGAAATTGTCTTGGGCCATATATATGCAGGTTGCTCCAAAAGTAATGCCTCTTATTTAGTTCCATGGAAACAACAACAGATAAAAGAGCACAATAACACTATTCAGTATAGAAAATTCTCAACTGCCCAACACTGCTTTTCAACAGTCACCACCATTAGCTATACATTTTTGCCAGTAATGAACAAAAGCCTGCATGCTGCTCTTATCGAAAACTGCAGGAGCAGAGGAACTACTGCTGAAACACAGCACCCACTGCCTCACTATGCTAACATCCACAGTTTGGTCTCCATAAACATTAAGCAAGAATTTCTGGACATCAATGGGTGCCATTTTTTCTGCATGGAGGAATTCAAAGACACACCTTTGCTTCATACACACTTCCATTTTGTCATTATGTTCCTCTGCTGCCATCTGTCACATCGTGACATAGTGTTATTAGAGGAAAGATTCAACCTCTATTGCCATATCATCATTTGCCTCTGATGTTATAAGCCAACATAATAAAAAAGGAGGCATTACTTTTGGAGCAGCCACTGCAAAATACTCAATATCATTAATATATGGGTAATAGAACATCTTAATTTTAAAAATTTGTCTTAAAGCATTAAAAAAAAAAGAAGAAAAAAACATAAAACTAGTGGGATAAGTGACCTCATTTTTGTCAAACTAACATGCCAGTCTGGTTCGATGGCAGTGGTTGACATTCTTAGTTAGGCCTCAAGTTGTTCATCAGAGATTTTTGATCAAAATTTACTCTTCCTGTACTTCATCCTTGACAACAATTGTTCAAAATGTGTGCACTGCCAAAAAGCGATGACATGAATAAGGTGTGATTGTGAAGCAAAAGACATTTTTCTCTGCTAAGCCCAGTAAAGAGACATGATCAGATTTTTGAGTTGAATATCTGACTGCAACTTTCCATTTGAAAATTTGCAGGTCATGTAATGGATCAACTGAATATGGTCTCACAAACGTAAATTTTTTTGTGGCAGTCTTGAAACCTCAACCTATGGAATGCAGTCAACAGCGGCAAGGGATGGGATGCCATCCAGAGAGACTTAGACAGGCTTGAGCAGTGGGCCCTAGTGAACCTCAACAAAACGAAGGGCAAGGTCTGTAGCACCTGGGTCAAGGCAAACCTCACTGTTAATAGAAGCTGGGAGATGAAAGGATTAAGCACAGCCCTGTCAAAAAGGACTTGGGAGTACTTGTGGATGAGAAGCTGGACATGAGCCAGCAGTGTGCTCTCGAAGCCAACCGTACCCTGGGCTGCATCCAAAGCAGCACGGCCAGCAGGGCAAGAGAGCAGATCCTGCCCTTCAGCTCTGTGTTGTGAAAACTCGCCTGGAGTACTGGACCAGATGTGGAGTCCTCAGTATAGGAGAGATGTGGACCTATTGGAGCGCATCCAGAGGAGGGCCATCCAAATGATGGAGCACCTCCACTATAAGGACAGGCTAAGAGAGCTGGGGCTTTCAGCCTGGAGAAGAGAAGGCTGTGAGGTGACATCAGAGCAGCCTTTCATTATCTAAATGGAGACTATAAGAAGGAAGGGCACAGATTCTTTATTGGGGTCTGTTGTGATGGGATAAGGGGAAATGCTTTCAAATTTAAAGATGAGAGATTTCAGTTAGATAGAAGGAATAAGTCTTTTACAGTGAAGGTGGTGAGACACTGACTCAGGTTGCCCAGAGATGCGGTGGAAGCCCCCTCCCTGGAGACATTCAGGTCAGGCTGGATGGAACTCTGACCAACCTGATCTAGCTGTGGATGTCCTTGTTCACTGCAAGGGAATTGGACAAGATGACCTTTAAAGGTCCCTTCCAACTCTAAGGATTCTATTATTTTATTTTCAAACTTCTTCATCAAAACAGAAAGCATGACTGTGTTTTCTTCACTGTTCAGAGCCCTGTGTTTAGCCAACGCATCACAACGCATACAGCTATTTGCCATCACTTGAGTTAGCACTGCATAGCACTGCCCTCCTGGTGCCTTGCTTTCAGTCAACACACGGTTAATACTGCACTGACAGTTTGGCTGTTGCTGAGCAATGGGTGGGCTGGTCTGGGGGGAAGAGCCATTGCCTTTACAGTGTGGTGTGGTGGGCTGCACTGTGAGCCATGTTGGGCTGCATGTGGCCTGCAGTCTGCGGGTTGGACATGCCTGTCCTGTATGGTTACAATGCTTCTCAACATTATTTACATATATTTCTCGTATTCACCTGTCATAATCAGTCCTTATATAGTACTTGGCCTGAAGAAAAAGTCTGAGGATTTTTCTAATATTCAAGCTAACATACCAACTGAAGCAAGGAAGAAAAGGAAGGGAAAGTAGTTCTAAACCAATATGTACTGTAGCTTTTCCTTCAGATTTCTATGTCTATAATTTCAAGAGTAGTATACAACAAATGATTATTTCATCTGGATAATCAGATAAGCATTTAGAACTCTACAACCTGCAGAAAATAAAATTAATCAAGGTAAGAAACATGAAATGGCTGAAAACTAAGCAAGTATTATGGAATGCCAATGGCAAAAACCATCAGCATTAGGAAGCATTAAATGAATTACCAACTCTTGTGGAGCATGGCTATGCAAAAATACTACTGCATAAAACCATAATGTTTGCATCATCAGCTCAGCTGAGGAGATATTTTACAATGATAAAAAGTACTGTATAAACCAAAGTCATATGACTTCTCACAGAGCACAATTGCGTAGAGGCTTTGACTTACATGGGTAAAAGAGGAAAAAAGAAACAAAGCGTTTTCTATTACACTGCTGTATTAACTGAATAGCTATTAAAAATATTTTAATAATAATGAAAAATACGTACAGCAAAAGATCTCCTGGATACTTACTGTCTGCCTTGAATTCTGCCATTAGATGCTCTGAAATCAGTTCTTCCACTGAAGATTCCAGCTTCCGCTCTCCATCAATAATCCAGGGAGTTTGAGGTAAATTCCTTGAATATTTATTGTACCTTCCTGTAAAAAGCAAGTACGTTACCTATAATTGTTCTGAAGCAAAGGAGGAAAGCTTCAGTCTTCCATATCATAACTCATTTAACTTTCATAGGAGCCTCGTGAAAATAAACATATTATTATTATATATGTGTTATATATATATATATATACCAAATTCTTGCTCCTGGACTTACAAGAGTTTCAGTATCGAAGATAGCCAGCTTAAAGGTAGACTTGGAGAGTCTACTGCTGCAGTCAAACCTTCAGGTAAAACCACAGAAACAAAACCGTATGAAGCCTGACACAACTTGGAATGAAAAAGAAGAGGTCCATGTACTCAGTCTGAGTAAACTAAATTCAGAAATTATTTGTGGAATCAGAGCATGGCATCAAGCCAGTCTCCCCTACACCAAGTTACTGCTATATTTATGCCTGTCCAGTAACGTACATCTCCTAAGTAAAGAAGTTCTCACAAATCCTTGTATCAAGTAGTTCAGGTTTCAATCCCAAGTTCTGCCACTGCACGAATGTTTAACAAAAGAAACCCAAAGCAAAATGCTTTGGCTTATCACAAGAAAAAACATGCTAGCACAATCTCTCAAGAATAAACTATTACATATTTTAGAAACTCTGAAAAGTTGCTTTGTAACAAGATTGCCATCCTCTGATCCATTTGTCAAAGTCTCATATTGTGTCATGCTATCATGCAATCTCCCATGACCCAAGGACTACCTCAATCAAGAACCAGTCTGACACAGGTGACCAAGAGCTTTCTTACTGATAGGTTTTATAACAAGTGAAAATGTTCACAAAATAGGGAACTTACTCATAAAGAACAATGAGTAAGTTACACTACCTAGTAACCTTGCATTTATTAAATTTAAAAAGGCTTTCAAAGTAGCTGTGCATATTGTACCTGTATCTCTGTCACCTTTTTTTTTTTTTTTTTTTACTTTCAGTACCATATTTTCCTATATCTAACCACATTTTCTTCCTGCATTTTGATCTGCAAAAAAAAAAAAAAACATAAAAAGATGGGGAAATTGACTAATATTGTTTCACTGGGGCAGATAATGAAAGTACTATGAATAACCATTGAGAAGTCAGCTTCATACTGCTTAATTCTCTTTCCATAAAATAGAAATAAGAAAATAATACCTTTTTTTTTTCTTTCAACTCCCTGTTCTGTAATTTTAGCTTTTGATTTGAACAAGAGGGAGCTAAAAGCAAAACTAGTGTTTCTCAGTTTGACAACTTCTCTTGAATACCTAAATACAGATATATATATGTATCTTTTTATTATTAAACAACAAAAAATGAGTTCCATGGAGAAAAGATCAGTAAGCACCAGCGATAAGGTCAAGTGGGCAGTAAAAACTAAAACTGTGATAAAAAATTAAGATCCTGATCTGAATTAAATTTCTGTAATGGCAGATGAACTGCACTGTATTGAAGAAATTCTTCTGGATTTAATTCCTCATAAACTAAAGACAACATACAGTTGTACGAGAATATTCATCTCAATCTATAAACTGTGAACCACGGAAACAAAATTAAATCACCATGCAACAAAGTAACCTGAAATAAAGTGGCGTGTTTGGAAAATGCTAAAAAGCACTGCATATCTCCAGTTTGTGAAAATGTAGGTTTATGGTTAAGAGAATACAGCAGCAGAAATAAACAGATCACTTTACCAGCCACAAAAACTGCACCATTATTGCACTGAATTTCCAGAGCAACACAGAGGTTCTTTGGTGAACTTGGGGGACATGGAAAATGCCTGTACAAGAAAAGATGAGAAAAAACTAGGAATATCAAGACGTAACAAATTATCACCATAGCAACAATGACATGAAAGACAATGGCTTCAGTTAGAAAAAAACACTCACAATATAAATATAAAATATTTACGTTAATAGCTAGAACACAAAGAAATGAATAAACACTAAGAAAATCAATAAAAGCGTATTGCAAAATATACTTCTGTCTGTCATCCATCATTATCAGTGTGTGACACTTCAAAGTGTGCTAATAAGAGATACCATGTTATAGATATAGAAATAATGAAACTAAACACTGCGTGAAAACCTGCTTCACTATCCATTACTAAATATTTGCTGGGAATCCAGAATAAGAGCTGCAAAAGATTTAGTGCAATTAAACATAGTGCACTAGGGAGAAGAAATCTATCTATATCTTCCCCCTGACAGTGATCTTTTTTTCTACCACTTTAGAGTGCTTGGTGTTTTCTTAAAACTCAACTCCTAATATTTGGAAATACGGGAAAAAAGAAATCATTCAAGTAAAGAGGAGTTTGCCTTACAAATTCTAAGGTTCAAAATTCGTATGAAAGGTCCATGATTGCTAAATCTCTCCTGTGGTTTTGAGGATGTACATGAAGATTTTTTAATGTATGTGACTGGCAATGCTACAATAAATTGTTTACACTTCTAACCATTCTAAACCCTGTGCGAGCCCAGAGACCTGCAGTGACATACTGCTGGAACTGTAGAGCAGAACTGCAGTTCTCTTACCTGCAGTTTCTCCTCTGCAGTGCTCCTGGCAAAATAAACCAATGAAGCACTTTTCCTAATAGGAAAAAGATCATCATTTGCATCATGTCCAATTTTCCATTCTAACATTACTCTTTAAATAAAAAAAACAGAATTATATCTTAGTATCAGAAGCCTAAAATGCAACACATTTTAACTAATAAACTAGCAGAATTAAAACTCTTTTTTTTTTTTAGATACCTTTCTACTACTGACCTGCCCATCCTAATTCTTTACAAAAAACCAATATTAATAACTAGTTTCAGTGTATACTTACTTGAGAAAATCTTCTTCTTTTATCTTCTCTAGGGCTTTTATAACTGCCATTCTAGTGAAAACAGACTGAACAGTGAAATAAAAAAAGAAGTCAAGAAGAGAAGATAGGACTCGCCTAAAAAAGAAAGAAAATCTTAAAACATATACCCAACACACTTCTCACAATATAGTGTTTTCTCTTATGTTCTGTGTTTTCTTATACCTACTATCAGTTCAGCAGGATATGATTTTAACTCCTCCTTTGGCTTGTTCTTATATCTTCTCTGAATCTTATCATTTCAACTTTTGCCCATTGTCTCTCATCTTTCTAAATGCAGTGCAGTGAAAAGCATAGTTTCCTCAACATCTCTGTAGGTACTAGGGGTGCTTCTGTCAAGCCCTCTCAAATGCCTTCTTCAGGCTGAACAAGACCAAGTTCCTCAGCCTCTCCTCACAGGGCATGCATTGCAACTCTGACTACCTTTCTAGGTCCTCTACTGGATTCCCAATTTAATGATATCTTTTTTCCACTGAGGGCCTAAGTCTGGATGTGATCTCCATACACATATAATACTGTCCCTCAGTCTACATGCTACATTTCCATTAGTAAAGTCCAGGATGCTGCTGGCTCCACTGCTGCTAGAGATCAGTGCTCTTTCTCAGCTTGCTGTCTGCTGCCACATCTCCCAGGGCATCTTTAAAAAAACTGCTTCCCAACCTGCCAGTCCTCAGACCATGTTACTGCTGGACATTATTCCTTCCCAGGTGTCTGACCACTATCCACTTGTTGCAGCCAAATTTCATACGGTTCCAATCCACCCATTCCTTCAGCCTTCCTAGATCACTCTGAATGGCAGCTCTGCCTTCAAGTGTACCTACTGGCCCTTACAATTTGATGTCATCAGCATGCTTGATGAGAATGGTCTCCACACACTCCTCCAGGCTTTTGACAAAGATGCAAAATAGCAGGGATCCCAGGACAGACTGGGATCACAACACTCATCATAAGCATCCAGGTAGAGTATGACATCCATTAACCACTACCCTTCAAGCCTAATTATCCATTCAGATCATAAGTCTGATGATGAGCACTAGTACATGGAAAGCAACAGAAAAGTCACACAGCTCAGGGATTTGGAAAAACAATGAAAAATACTGGATTACTTTCTAGGAGTATTTAAGTCTTTGCTCTAACAGAGACATCCAGAATGCCTTCAGGAAAGCTGTTCCATTTCTATCTAAGCATAAGCTAAAGATAAATGCACCTTCCTCAGAGGAATATGAGATGGATAACCCTTAAACTAGCAACAGGCTTCAGACATTTTTACTCAGAATCCAGCTTTTACTCCACTTCTGATTAACACAGCCCTTGATAGTAACTTCAAGCATAGCTTCTCTTTAAGGATGAGCCTCTGATTTGGAGACTGTATTTCTTCCTTTACATTTTGTTACATCTTGTTGCCTGTGTGCTTTCAACAGGCCCTGCTGGTTTAGCTTTTTATGGGGGATTTCCCCACTTTTAAAGGAAAGCAGTACAGCAGGCAGTGAGTTATCACAGTATGAAGCTTCTAAAAAAAACAAAAAAAAAAACCAAAAAAACCAAAACAGATTTGTATTTATTTGTGCAGTGGAGTACAGTAGACAAAATTCAAGGGTCATACCAAATGTCGGCAGACTGTTCATGAGAAAGAACAAAAGGTCTCCTACAGACTTCTGACAGAAGTTACTTTTCTCCCTCTAAGCACACCTATTGTCCTAGTCACATCAGTTTATCTCCAACTGTTTTTTATTCTTAAACACCCTCTTTTCTCATATTACGTGTGTGTTCAGGGTCTGCAGCAAGTGGCAAGGTCACTTTTCTTTCTTCCCGACTCCAGAAGTGGACAGGATAAAATCATTCTGGAGGTATTGTGTCTTTCATTCAGATCACAGGACATGAAAACTGTAATGTGATCATTCTCCTTCAGCTGCAGAGTCTCCTTTTCAGAGTGTGACTTATCTGAATTGTTTCACTCACAGAGAAATTGAGGATCATGTTTTATATGCTACTTTTAATGCATGATACTCAAATTCTTCCTCTTAAAGGCTGTATTTATAGAGAACATTCCTTAAAGTATTCATTTGGACAATCTGGAAAACAAATGAGCTAAAGAAAAGCACCAAGTTCGTCATTTTCCTAAGCAGAGAAATGTTTAGTGAGTAAAATGAGATGACTATTTTCAGATAAGTAAAAATTCTGAGAGATTTCTGATGCAGGAAAAACAGACATTAAACAGTGATGAAAAATAGCCATGTAAGTTTCTTGTTGTAGCTTTTGCTCTGAAATTCTGAACGTCAAAAAGGAAATACAGCAGTGATGAGATCCTACCTGTTTGTTCTTTGCTGGCTTGAAACAATCTGGACAGACTGTGGCTCTACATACAGAAACGAAAATTAGCTAATAATCTTACAGAAAAAGCAAAAAACAAACAAAACAAAAAACAGAGACAGTCAGAAGCATAACATTTAATGGCCTTTTTACCAATATATCCCACACTTCACTTCCACAGCTTACCAAAAAGCAGATTTTTAAATCAATTTTATACTAAACCACAAATGGGGAAAGCTGTGCATTGCTTGATCTATAGATAAATCACAAAGCATTGTAAGCCTTTTCTGCTCTGACTAAACCAAATGCATTTCACTTTTGAGACAGAATGGAAAAGCACCTAAGTTTATCTCTCAGTCCTTTGCAGTCCTTCTCAGTAAAGGTTAATGTTCCGCACAAGGTATGCGGACATCTTGAAATCTATGCTTGCACGCACACTGCAAATTAGGCATTTCAAAATTAGAGACTCAAATTGCTGCTTCTGGATAGGAAAATTCAACTTACTATGGAAAAAAAAAAAATCCCTCACTGTTTGGTACTATTTGTGCTTTGCTGCTTCAAAAGGAATTTCTTGGCTGTTTCACAAAAGTGAAAGCCAACTCAGTTAAACATTTTTTCTGAGTACCGTAGAGGAAGTTGCTGTTCCTATTAATTGTATACATAGAAATCCAATAGAGATGATTCCTAGCCTGCAACACAGTTTATCAATTCTATAGACCATAGTAGACTGCAAAGAAGTAGGTCTGTCCTCCTGCAGTTTCTATACAAACAACTTCCTGGACAGTTTGGGACACAAATCCCTTCTTCCAGAATTTAAATACAAATTTCCAATATAAACATATATAACAAAACATAAACAAATATAAATAATATAACAAAAGCCAATCAATCTTCCATATCATACCAAGGGTCATTTTAGCACACCCACCTACACACAACTATACAAGAAGGGCTTGAGAGAGGAGAAACTGCAGATGCCATACCTGGAAATCCCATCCAAAACCACACCTGGAGTAGGGGGGACTTTTCCAAGTTCAGACAATGTCTTACTTTGCTTTCACATGACTGTCATTACATCCTGATAACTGCCAAATTTCCTTATTTACATTAAATAACCTTAAATAAAACCTCAGAAATACTTCCACATATGGAGAACGCCTGAGAAATTATCAGGTAATTAAGCTAGGCAATATGCTGTTACTTCAGAAAAATGTCCAATCATTAACTAATTATCCCACAAAGAGAAAGCAAATACGGGGATACTGTCAAGTCACACAGAACAGATCTGAGTACTTCTTTACAGTTTTCTATTCTACAGATATTTGGTGCACCAACATAGGCACTATAACAGGCTTGGCATCAACATTTTTGAACTGTCACAAAATGGTAGTGAAAGGATCAGTTGAAAATAAGAGTTGCCAGGTTTCAGAGGAAGGAAGACCACTACAGGAAACCAGAATTAATCAAATTCTAGCTTATTAACACTGCATATTTCTCATCTGTAGCAAATCCAAACCAATGAAGTTGTACAATATTTAGATAAAAGATCTTTTGTTATTTACATCAAAACTTACAGGAAACGGCACTCCTCATCTGTTTCTGGGTGAGCAAAGACTACGCTAACTTCAAACAAACTCTAGATTAAAAAAAAAAAGAAGGATGGGGTATAATACTTTGTTAAACAAGCCAGAAGGATATTCTCATATACTGTAATGATAGGAAAACAGAGGCAGACAGAAGAGCAAGTAATACACTTATTCTACAATATAACATATTCTAGATATATATTCTACAATATAATATAAAGAAATACATTAAAACTTGAGCCATAACACTATTTGCATTTCTGAAGTACTCAAAGATGATCTCAGAACACTTCAAAAGCACAAGTGACCTACACATCATAGATATTGGCCCCATTCTGTACAGGGAGAACTGAGTCAGAGACAGTATATACTCAAAGCCTATTATGGTCACTAAACTTAACACACCTTCTGGGAAAGCAGTGCTTAGTGTAGAATAAAGATAAAAACCCTGCAGCACTCATCACTGTAGAATTTTGTCAGGGGCTTCGTTTGCAATGACTGGATGGCCCTGGGGCAAAGAAAGGCAACATGTCCTAGTGGACTAACAGCTAGACTAGAAACTACTGTAATCTCAGTTCTATCCCCAATTCCCTCTTTGGCCTTGGGCAAACAACACTCATTACTTCTGTTCTTCAGGTACCAGTATATCTCAAGAGGGCTATTGGAAAGACTGGCTAATATTCAAGTGGCTTGTAGATAAAGAGCACTACAAAAGTAACTTTAATGGTACAACGGAGTCTGATATGCTCAGTGTCTAAGCCTTGTAGGGCGTTTGCTAACTTGGTATGTAAGAAGTTTGTTTCTTTTTGGATCACCTTCAGGGTGACTCAATGATTCTTGCTTCACTAAGACAAAACGGATGCTTTCAATTAGTACGACTGGGAAAAGACAGTCTGTAACTACTCTGGAAGTTGACAAATAAACTTAAAGACTGAATGAGTATAGTTGTGGCATCAGTCCTACAGCTGATGAAAATAACTACAGACTGCTTTGCCCTCAGCAGGACTTTTAGCCACGCTTGTAGAGATTGATTACAGTCAGGATGATAGCATTAGGATTTGTCTGACAACTTCTCAAAGTTTCATCCAGTCAATGCATTTCAGAAACATTTCAGGAATGTTTGACAGAATTCAAAAGTTAAATATGGTTTGAAAAAAAAATATATCCTACTGCTTGTTCACTAGCACAAGTTCCAATATGCCTATCTCTAGCAGCCATTAATATGAACAAACACTAGTCTTTCCTCCTTTAGAATGTTTCAGAAATATATTCTATCCATACAATTTAACATGTTAATAACCTTTACAATTTATCTCACAGAGCAGTAAACAATGCTGGCAGTAAGGGGAGAACAAAGAAGGAAAACATAAAGAAAAGAAAGAATTAGCCTTCGGAAAACAAAGATCCTGAAAAATTAAAAAATTGGAAAAGTCTCTTTGGTAAAAGCAGAGTGGCAGCCCAAGAGCAAGAGACTTAGCAAAATGCTACAATGATTCCATTGTATGCAATGATCTCTGTGTATGGAAATGAAGATTGGTCCCCCTGTCATTGAGAGTAGGAGATCTCAGGTTAAAAGAACTCCTTCCCTGCTTCCCCCTGCAGTGCATGTAAGTACAACTTATCTGCTAATGAGGAAAAAAAAGAAAGCATATATATTTTTCTATCTATATACACATATGTGAAAAAAAAAAACAAAAACAAACACACAGGAAAGAAGTATTTTCTTATTTATACAACACAATACCTTTCCATCAGTGGGAACACCCAACTCCTCTGACAACTGGGGATGAATAATCCACTTATAAGCTTCTTTCAGCTGAACAATGTCATCCTTTGCCAAAGAAAGGCCCAGTTTTCTGAATAACATACGTAAAGAAATAATAACTTGCACAGGAGTCAAAGACAGATACCATATGATATTTCAAGACAAACTTAAGTAACTAGTTGCAGGCGAACAAGCATTGCACAAATAAAAAGGACAAACATGTTAAGCATACAGAGCACAGCATGAAAGAAAGGCTGTTGCAAGGTTTCTTATAATTGCAATGAATATTTGTTTTGAATCAACAAAAAAGGTGTCGAGGAAGCATTAAGGCCAGACCAGGATTTCAGGTAAGATGCTTTCCAGTAAACAAATAATCATGTGCATGCTGACACCACTCAGCATGATAAATCATACCAGTACACTGATCCTATTTAAAGTAAATCTAAATCCATTAAAAGGAACAGTTCTTATTTTTTCCTCCAGACAGATCAGTGAGATGATCAGCTCTATAGCTTATGTTAATACAAGAAAGACAGAAGATACATGCCGATAGAGCTGGGATCTTTATTATAATATCAACATCCTTCTTAAATCAATAGTTCAACTTCATTAAAAACTTTCTATCTAGATCTTGTACTCAGAACCCTGGCCACTTGCACAGTATCCTCTCATAGAGGTTCCAGATAAGATAATACCACGTTTTGTCCTGTTTCTATTTGCTAATGTTTCTTTAATTAACAGCTTAAGAATAGCTTCTTTTCTTTCCTGTGTGAGAGAACACACAGTAGTTTCATGGTAGATCAAAAGTTACCAAAACCTTTTCAGAGCCTACATGGAGAAGAGGTTAGAAAGAGACTGTCAGAAAAAAATCCTTTGTTTTAAAGCAAAACAAACAAACCCACAACACTAATGTAAGACATTTTTCTGTTGCTAAAGGAATGATTCACTCCTTCATTAAAGGAAGGACATGAACTTCAACAGACACAAATTCCAGAGGGGAAAAAGTTCAGATAGCAATCTCAGCTGACCTTGCTGAGAGCTCAACTGACTCTGTAGGTACAAGACCAAGCTCTGATTCCCATGTCTTGCCTATGCAGAGAAAAGTTAGAAGGAGCAGTTGCCGGTAAGGATGCCAGCATACGATTTCAAACCCCTTGTTAGGGAACTTGCAGAGCAAACATACATCCTTCTGCATGAACAGAACTAATGACAATATCTGCTCTATACAGGTCAAACTTCTCTGAAGCAAACTAATGAAACAATGGCTTTAAAATTAGTCTCAAAATAAGAAGTGATTTATCTTTTGCTTTGACTCTTTCATAGGAAAGCAATTCTACATACTCCACAACTGTTAGTTGAAGCTCCTCTAAATGAAAGTAACTGTTTTGATCTTGAAAATATGGTATTAATTCCTTTCTCAAAAACTTTTTTTTGAATAAATATCTCAGCAGGTACACTGCATTAAGTGGTGTCTCATTTCAGCTGAAAAAAGAAGTTGTAGTAAGAGTATCTCTCTTTTCTCTAATTCTTTGGGACACTAGTAGACATGACATGAGAACTGCCAAAAGAAATTACTCACCCCATTTCCTGTTTTACCAACAGCCAAACAGCATGCTATATGTCATCAGCCAAGCCCAGGAAGAAGAGAGAAAAATAATGCAAGTGAAATTAAAGCTCAAAACTTCAACTGTTTGAGAAAGTGCTAGAAAAATAATAACAACAACAATAATAATAATAATTTAAAGTTAAAAAAAAAAAACTCAGGTCGGTAAGGAAGCATTAGGATTTTAAGTTCGCTTTTGCTTTAGGAGTAAAAAGGCAGAATTAGTGTTTGTTCTTTTCCTCAGAGACTCACTCTGCATGCGTGAGCTCTTCCTTACTTTACTGCTCATTCTCCCATCACCACACTCACAGAAACATAGGTAAGCTTTTGGGAAGCAGAAAAATTAATCAATTTTCCATCACGTCAATTGGAAGCTTAACACGTTTGCAGAACAAATAATTGATTACATGGCAGAGAGAGCGTGGTATCCCCACATGAGACACCCTAAGTAATTTAAATCAGTTCCTAGGACAATCTGACATATGTGGAACTGTGGGCAACAAAAAGCAAAGGAAAAGACTTGAAGATAAATAATTTTTTTTCCCCATTATGCTAAGCTAAGTTTTCTTATTTCACAAATATTTGAATATTTTGCTGTTTTTCTCTTCCACTTGCTGATTTTTAAAGTGTCAGTCAATACTAGTCCTTTCAAAGCTATTCTGTCATAATATTCTCCCTGTTCTCTAACTCTCTGAAAAAGCTCTCACTTTTATGTGCTCCTTCCTATACAGCTCCATTTATCACTCCTGAAATTTTATCCTACATTTTGAAGGAACAAGTGTATATGTCTTACAATGTAAAATACAAAAGAACCCCCCACTTTTATGTATTTATTTATTGCAGAACAGCTCTTCCATTTCAGAAATAATTGAAGATAAGCAGGCAAAGCTGAAGTTGTTATGATTGCAGTATCTATATACACTAAAAGTTTAAATCCTGAGTACAGGAAAAGCTAAGGACCATTTTTGTTCCATACTGACAAAAAATCAGGTTTCCCCTGCTGATAACATTAGTTCAGTTTTACTTTCCTAGTGATACCGAATATACTCACACATCTGGCTAAATGAAAACCAAATCAGTATTACTGAGTACTAATGAGCATTCAGTCTGCTACCGGAGAGACCATGGAAATGACACAAAAGGCAATGGGAAGTCCCAGATCTCTGAAATAAACTGCATAAATTTCTAAGATATCAGTTTACAAATGGACAACCAAGTCACCTCTCATCTCATCTATCTTTAAAACAGATCAGGCTGCAGTAAAAGCACTTCCATACTTGCTATTAACACTATAACTAGGAGAACTGATAACCTAATTCAAGTGCAGCCAGCACATACAGAGAAATGAAAACGCATGTCTAAATAGATGGTATTTGAAAATTGATCTGGCATACTTTAAAAAAATAAACACACATACAACAACAACAAAACAAATAGAGTTAGCATCCATAATAAATAAAAACACTAACAAAAGACATACTTAGTCTTAAGGTAATCATGAACCACTCATTTACAGCACACCACTTAGTTAAGGAGACACACTGAATATGGAAAAGCTAAAGAACAGAACGATACACTATCAGAAAGCTGAAAGAGCTGTTGGTACAAACACTGGAATTCACTAACAATTTCTTATTTGAGCAGACTTCACTTCATATTCTCCTCTTCATTTCCCAGCTGACCCTCCGTTGTTTTTTACAAATCCTTTGTGAATACCAGCTTCTGCGGCTCCAGATATACTACTTTGAATTGAGGTTCCATGAAACAATATTTGATTTACATGACAGACCATAAGCAAGTTCAGGGATGTCACAAGGTCTTTGTCCAACTTTGTGCTTAAAGCACGAACAGTTATGAAATCAGACCAGGTTGCTCAGGGCCTTATCCAATTAGGTCTTGAAAGCTTCCAGTAAGAAGACTTTTCCACTTCTCTGAGCAACCTCCTCTAATGCTTGATTGTCTTCAATCCATCCTTTATAAATACTTCATCATACATTGCTGCCCACCTGCAGCAGCTTTACATACCTAAAGAAATATAATATAGCAGGCTTCTTTAACATGATAGTGCCCAAGATAGAAGATCCTGAAGTTAGGTGTCACAATCAACAAGTGGAACTCAGCAGTACAACATTTAATATTAGTTGTAACAAAAGTCAAAAGCAGAATTAAAATTACCACTGCTAAGAAATGATAACAGAAAAACACAAAAGTAAGCACAAAGAAGCCACAGCCTTCAAATCAGTGCAATGCTATCAGATTTGAACAAAATTTAAAGGGACCAAGAAATCAAAGACTTCTAATGAACACTGTTTATGTCAAAAGCTTCCAAAAGCGTTCCGACACTTTGATCTGGAAAGCTTGACATTTTAAAGATGCATCCCTTTGCAGTCTCAATCACTTCTCTTTGTATTGACATATTAATCCCATATGATGATCTCCTGCTTTTTTCTAGTAATTTTACAGTGATTTAAGCTTTATGTTTTTTACTCTGCAATGCATTAAGAGTTACTGCCATTCACAGAATCACAGAGTGGCTTGGATTGGAAGGGACCTCAAAGACCATCCAACCCCTCTGCCGCAGCCAGGGCTGCCAAACCACTAGATCAAACACTATATCATGTTGCCCAGGGCCCCACCCAATCTGGCCCTGAACATCTCCAAGGACAGAATATCCACCACCTCTCTGGGCAGCTTGTTCCAGCATCTCACCACCCTATCAGTGAAAAACTTTCCCAACATCTAAACTAAACCCCTCTTTTAGTTTAAAACCATTCCCCTTGTCCTATTACTATCTAGTCATTTTAGAAGTTGATTTCCTTTCTATTTATAATCATCCTTTAAATACTGTAAGGCTGTAATGAGGTCTCCCATGGAGCCTTCTCTCCTCCACACTGAACAAGCCCAGCTCCCTCAGCCTTTCTTCATAGAAGAGGTACTCCAGTCCTGTGATGATCTTCATGGTTCTCCTCTGGACTCTCTCCAAAAGCTCTATAATTTTCCTCTGTTAAGGGACCCTGACCTAGATGCCAGTACTCAGTGGGACCTAACAAGGGACAATCACCTTCCTCACCCTGCTGCCCCCCCTCGCCTCTTCTGATGGAACCCAGCACACCATTGGTCTTCAAGGCTGCAAGTGCACGCTGCTGGCTCACATTAAGTTTTTTCATCTATCAGGACCCCCTCGTCCGTCTTGGCAGAGCTACTCTCGAGGAGTTCTCTGCATCACACTGAAAGCACACTTTACTAAACTGAAATTAACCAAAATTCTAACTTTGACCTCAAATGATCTTCCTCTAGTCTAAATTATGTCATAATAATATATTTTGTCAAGGAAATAATGAAGAGGTTGGAAAACATGTATCAAACTTTTCAGAGCACAGATATGGTTGCGTCATCTTTTGGTTAAAATCAGAACGAAACATACATACATCACTTTTATATGCTGACAGAGGAACTCAGTCAAAAATTCGTCTTCCTTTGCACATCTAAAAGAATGAGGCAATCTTAAAAACAGTGCTAGAAGTAGTAAGGGGAAAGAGATACGGTGGAGAAACCACACGGACTTTGCTAGATACATAATACACAAATCAGCTCATTACTGAGCAAAATAATTATAGTTGTATTGATGGAATACTGCTTACTCAAATTCAGTGTGATTCACTACATTGCGTATGTAGACAGTATGAGTAAGACTCCTTCACAAAATACTTGGTATATTATAATCTTGTTTGCATAATAACCCAAATAAAACCATAAATAAAATGAGCTTCAAATTGAATTTCCTTGAACACACATCTAAACTAGAGAATATGACCATGCCTAGGAAGAAGTCTGCATCCAAAAATACCAATTTAAACAATCATATATGTCTTGATTTAAAGTACACTGTACGTTTGGTAATCAGTTGGGTGGCCAATCCCCCTTTCCCTGTTTTATGGGAGTAGAATTCAGAAACTCGAGAAAACTTACGTGTGTTACGAACTGTGCTAAAATAAGACCACAGGACAAATTTCACCTTCTCTCTACTGACTCCAAAGTTAAAGATAATTAAAGGGGATTTTAAATTACTTTTCCCCTACAGTTAAGAGGAAACAATAGATTAGGGCGTAGTGAATGCATAAGTCAAAAGACCCCAAATTATAAATCAGATTCAAACAATCCCTCTACTCGTGCCTTAATTCCCCAGCTTTGCCCTTTCCCAGTTGTATGCAAAGCAGGGGATCAGATCCTTCTATTTCATAATTACGTTATGTTTGAGAAGTGGTTTGAAAATGAAAGATGCTCATTACAGAGCTCAAGCCTGCAGGGCAATACTTAAAACCTAACATATTTCTGAAATACACTAGCACAGGCACTGTATTGATTACAAGCTGCAGGATATTATTCTAATGCTATCTGAGGAATCACAGTGGCAACTGTTGAAATACCACGTGCAATTCCAGCCATAGCACTTTTTCTCTGTATTAGAGAAGAGCTCAGAGATGGGGAATTCCATGATGAGGTATACACAGCCCTACAGGGAGTGATGACTATACATGCTATTTGCATCAACGTCCTTGTAGCAAGTATCAGGATGATGGATCACAACAGAGACTACAGACACAGCTAATAGTCACGCTTTTGAAGGGCATGACTCGCTTCACATTATAATATAGTTGTCTAACAAAAACTTGGGACTCCTGTATTTATGATTTATTTCAATCAAATATCCTACTTCTAGAAAGAGGTGACAGCTTCTGTGCAACACAAATATAAATACTATGCAAACATTAATTTTACGTCTTCTTCAGTTCATTCCTACATTTTAGGATTAGCAGGATAACAACTGTTACAATTAAACTAGTTGAAGGTAATATTAAAAGACAGTTTCTGATTTTTTTTTTTTTTTTAAAGTAAGTGAGAAAATCTGCATGTCATACAAAAGGACACTGGGACAAGGAAGGCTGTCTTCGGGGTGTTCTTTTATTATACAGTTATGTATGTTTTTGCGGAGTGCAACTTAAAAAATTAAAAGCAAGATTTAACAAAAGATCATAATCTCAACACTAAACATCTCAAAATACACCCACTTCTATCACTTGCTGCTTTTCTGTAACTATAAAGCGGGAACTGTTTTCAACAATTTTTTGAAGTGGTAAATGAATAGGTGGTAAACAAAATCCCATGGTTTTAAGCAAGTTCTTTCTCACCACCACCATCAACCATTTTCATCTCCTCAGTTAGAGCACAGTTATACAAACAGCTGAGTTAGCATTTGGCAAGACTGAAGGTGTGGAATAGAAATGACAGCAGAAACCTTCTAATGCAGGTCCCAGATGAATCAAAACTGTTTCCAAAGAGAACATACATATTTTTGGAGCTTCCCATTCATTCATGTCATTCCTCTTGCTCACCTCTGAACTCAAATCATATCTTTTATTGCCTCAGTTGTACCAAGCACGTATTGTTTGTTTGCTTGAACCTAAGAGCCAGAAACCTCATATGGAGCAGATGGACAGGTTAAGAATTACATCATGTCACTCTTTTTATCAAGTTAATAATTTACTGCACTTAGAAGACAGTTATTATAAAGTAATAAATCTACTAACCACATTTGCCAAGATAGTTTTCCCATTTCATAATCTCAGGGCATCAAGATTTCAATCAGCAAGAGGAATTCTTTGAAGCAAATTATTCTTTTTGGCTTCCACTTGCAGCCAAAACTGCCTCAAAGCAGACAGAATCGCCCTACTTGTTCAGACCAGCAGGAGAACACCAGTGAACTAGAACTGCAATGCAAGAACACCCCCTACCGAGGTATTATGGTAAAGACCCATAAACAGGTTGCTTCACAGCAGCGTCAAATTTTTCTTGCCTCACCTCTTAGTTATACACATAAGCTATGAGGAAAAACATATATCTTAAAGCTAGATAAACTATAACTGTCAAGCCAAATATGCATAATGAAAATGAATTAAAAACTTGATAACATGAGAAGTGCAGTTGAGACCCAAGGCAAAAGACTGAGTTCATTATTTTCTTTTTTACTCACAGATACTACAAGAAATAGAAATTCCCTTCTGGAACTGGAAATTGAAAAGACTATCACTAGAACCCTGGAAATAAAAGGGCTCCTCTTTTATTTTAAAGTTTGGTTAACTCTAAGCACAAACTTGGGGTAATTTTGACCAACATCTGGAATTCTATGTCCATGTACTTAACTAGCCTAAAAGTGTTGGGGTTTTTTGTTGTTTTTTGGGGGGTTTTGTTTTTGTTTTGTTTTTAATAAATCTCATTTTTTGGATGATGATAAAACAAAAAGAGAGTTTATCCAGACACAAAGCAAAAAGCAATTTGCTCTGGCATTATTTTAACCAGACACAGTGGCAGCTGAAGTGACCAGCACCAGTATGCTTAGATTTGGATAGGAAGCAGGTAGTCTGATGTGGAATCAGACTTAGAACATACATCAGCACAAGTTCCTACACTGGCTTTTGCTCAAGAAGTAAGAACTAACAATACTACTGAACACTAAAAACTGTGCAGAATGAGAGCAAACCTCATCACACATTAATATGCAAATCCAAGAGGATCAATACTACTTTCTGCCACATTCACTCAGGTTTATACTACTAGGTCTAGAGGCGCCTATCTTAAAGAGTTACAAGTTGCTTTTTACAACAGAATTTTTGAATCACTTCATCACTTCATTAGAAAACAAGGTAACATTGTAAAACATCACATAATAGTCAAATAGTCATTTACTGATAAAGTTATAATATGCCTAATATTTTCCCTCAATCTTCAAAAGAATTATCAGGGATACATATGTGTCCATGCTATCATTATCTTATGTAATTAAATGACTAAAATGTAAACAATTTAAGTTTTAAATTTAAGTCAACAATTCTTAACAATTTAAGACAAGAACTGCTATCAAAATAGTAGTTTTGCAACTGCAACTGTGAAAATCCAGACTTCCAACAATGCTCAAGACAGGTGACTACCAAAATATGTATTTTTACAGCATTTAAAATGCTGTGAAGTTAAAGAGCTCATCTTTGAACTTCTTCACTTCTACTCTGAACTATCAATTATCATTTTTTCCAGGAAAGGCACAAGCTGTGCTAGCTGTGCTGTTCCTTCTCTGAGAAGATCCTTTTACTTTTTCAGATGTAAAGCAACTCCCAGGCTAAATGAAAACTGAAGTGACTCAGACACCTTACTAATTATGACAGTACTTAGCAAAAAGGAAAGGGAAAGCAGACTACACTTGCAGCAAGGTTTGGGGTTGTTTTTTTTTTTGAACGATAGCAATTAAAAATCAAACTACCTCCAGTCTGTACCTTCCACAGTCACCTTCTTTAATACGTGTTTAATTTATGAAGGAGTATCTGCAAAACTCACCTCCCTGACAGACAGCTGTGGTGGTAGTGACACAGAAAATACAAAACTGTTGAACTGGTAGTCAGAAGAATTAACCTTTTCACACATCTGGAAAAGAAGAACATTAATATTGAACTACAGCAATGGAACTAAGTTGATAATTTTTTAGGCTATTCTTTATTCTAGCATAATCACTGTAAATCCGTATTAGTACTCATTCAGATAGATGCCAAACATAAAACTAGATTAACCCTATCAACTTATTGAAATACAAGCCTGAAAAAAAATCTTATTAATGACCTCTTTCCTTATTGGTGTGTGACATTATGAAATAAGAAAACTTGTTCTTTTAAGGCTAAAACCGTATACACAAATGTTGATGCAGGAAATTATACCACAGAGACAACATGCTAGAAGAGTTGACTCAGAATATTTTTCTTCATGGCACAGATACAATTCTATGACAATAAAAACTTTTAAGTTTCTGTCATAAGATAGAAACAAAAAGGTATTCACAGTAATAATTCAGTCAATCTTCAAAATAACAGAAGACAATGGAACATTTCATCTTTCAGTTTATGACAATTTTCTCAGGATTAGTATACAGCTATTACAAATAAGCAGGAACATCATCTAGACTTCTATTGTTCTTTGATATAAAAACCATGTTAATCATTGGAATTATAACAAAAACCCAAACATGCATCAGATGTTTTAAAGTAAGTGATTGAAAGCTGATGGCTAGATGTTTCTATCAGAAGGGACAAAGACTAATTATGAGCTTTCAGGATGAAATCAGCAGCTCTGATAAGGAAATTTCCTTGTGAGAGAATCAGATTTTGTGGTGCCTTAATAAATGTGCCTGTGCGCAAGAGCATGTTATGAGATTTTCTATTGTGACAAAATAGCATAACTCTGAAACAAATCTTAAAAGTAGGTTCAATTAATATATATATACTCTTTCCATGGAGACAAAAAAAAAAGAAGCATCCAACAATTCAACGGAATTTATGTAGTATGCTCCCTTAGATATATTAATGTCATTAAACCAAATTTGTTTCTATTAAAACTCAGTCAAACATCTCAAATGCAAGTGGCATTTCTAGTTAATATTTTGGTTTGTCACATAAGCAATTGTATTGCTCAGAGATGATATCTGCAACACGCATTACGTCCATACTCTCTCTTAACTCCCTTTTTCTTTATTATCTGCAATCTGTTGTACACCAAACACATTTTTTTCCTTTGTGGCTTTCTAAATAGTCCCATATGGTAAAGAAACACTCCTATATTAGAAACACACAGTTAAACTGAATAGCACAGCATTCAATGCCTCCTCATTTTGCCCTTACATAGCAAAAAGGGGAGAGAGATTGACTTACAGTGAGGTTTCACTTGTACTCTAAGCTCCTAACCTGATTACAAAAATATGTTCCTGTCTGTCATTCCATTGCACTTATACTTCTCTTTTTGAAGTTATATTCTAACAAACCTTGGATAAAACATGGTCACACAAATTTTATTTTCCAGCTGCAAAATAGGTATGCAAACACTATGTCAGTGAGCAGTATGTACCTGAATGGCGCCATCTACAACTCAAATATTCAACACAAGTGAATATGTCAGTTTGGTTTGCTCCCTCTCTCAGTTGTTTAACTGTAAAGTGTTTCTAATCACTAGATCTATACTGCAGACCCTAACATACAAAAGCTCCTAAAAAGTACTTGTATAGATTAAGAACTGATCATTTACCTTTTTAACAAAGTCAATCTCGCAGAACTCTTGAAGAATTCCCAAACACACATTGCAAACCTGCACAGCTGAGTTCTCCACAGCAGCATTATCGTCATTAACCAAAGGAATCTGACTGAGCACTCCATTCTGGTTCAGATCATCAGGCCCTTCTTCTGCGTGTCCACGTCTGAATCGCTTACAAGGTGGATCAGCTACATCAAAGCAAGCTTTATCTTCTTTTTCTTGATTACCTTTCAGGAATTGTTTCAAATCCTTCATCAACTCCTAACACAAACAGAGGAATTTTACTGTTGTTGGCTTTTCCTCTTTAATTCAGTGCTGTTAAAAGCACTAACAAACATGGGTTTAAAGAAGCAGAAGAAACCACCTGTAGCTTTAATCTTTGCATATGTAACTAACAACTTGCAAAATATATCAAAAGACACTTCCACAGTAAAAAATAAACTTCTGTCAAAATGTTACCAAAAAAAAAAAAAAAAAAGCATTTTTGCTGAACAGACTTCTTTACTGTCTACACTGGAAACATTTTACAAACTGGCTTGCAGAAATGCATTTATCTTCAGCCTCATCGCTGTTCAAGGAAAATCGGTGTTTATTGCCTTTTTGCCATTCAGCTTACCTAAGAATTTAACTCCTCCAACACAATTAGCCCACACAACGAAGACAGTTGGCTACCAGAGTATGAGAAAAAAATTAGAGCAGATAAATGTGATGGTGAAATTAAACACACGTGACAAAGTACACGTCTCATTCATTCATGTAATGAGAAGGCTAGGAACATTCCTGAGTGTGCTGGTGAGGAGAGAGAATTAACCATATATCTGAAATTTAGGAAGGATGAAAGGTAGAGGTAATATACAGGTCAGAAAAAAAAAAAGATTAAAACATCTTCAATAACAGCAGTTACTGTGTTGTTGCAACTCAGATGAAAATTGGGTAGAGCTGCAAAAGAATGGGAAACAGCACACACAACAACACTTCTCAACAGAGAGAGCTGATTAAAAATGAAAAAAGGATAAGGGAAAAAGACGTGGAAGAAGAATTCTGGAAAGTCTAAACTTGAGCTGATTAAAAATGAAAAAAGGATAAGGGAAAAAGACGTGGAAGAAGAATTCTGGAAAGTCTAAACTTGAGTGAAAGTGAAATAATCAAGGTAACACACAAACATAAAGACAACACATTAGGGCAGATACACGGAAATAATGGGCCTACACAATGAGAACTCTTAGAATCAACATGGTGGAGGAGCAAATAGCCAAAAACAATTTGAGAGGTGCATAATACAAGAAAACAGGAAGACTGATTGTGCACAACTGAGAGAAAATTTAAGAACACTGAATTTCAGCGGGAAGGTCAGCTAAACAGGGTGCCTAATAGCACTGTTTGAATGAAAGTGGAGGATCTATCCTTCATCTGTGCCATTCTTAGCTACATCCCTCAACCAGTTCTGCTGGAAGATGGAAGAAATATGAGGCAAAAAGGGAAGGCCCTGAATCAGCTGCAGTGACCCACAGCCTATTTGCTACTTACTGCACTAAAGGAAAAACAAAGGAGGGAACTGTCATAGCTACACCGTGTGAGTGTTAGAGCCATGCTGTGCAGAAGTTGTCCTGTCCTATTTACAGGGGTTTTTGGGGAACACACAGCAACTTAATAAACCTAACACCAAACTCACGGGAATTCTTATACCACAGCACTACTGTAATTTCTCAAATTTGCGCAGTTCAGCAGTCACTTCTCTTAACTCATTTTGCCAAGAATACAAACAACATCCTTCTCCTCCAAGGAGTGTGCAAATAATACTGCATTCATACGGCTGTACGTTCTAATTAGAAATACAAAGACCAAACCTTGTATGGGTGTCTATAAAGCGTCTGTGATCCCGCACGGCAGAACCTGAAAACGCACCGTGGGCACGTGCCAGTGCCCAGTAACAGCTGAACAATCGGTCTGTCCTCTTCTGTCAGAGAAGACATGCTAGACAACACTAATGGATATTAAAAAAAAAAAAAAAAAAAAAAAAAAAAAAAAAAAAAAAAAAAAAAAAAAAAAAAAAAAAAGGAAGAGGCTAAAGATAAACGCAACTCAGCAAATCGACAATAAAAGGATTCATTCCACTCCCAAGGAGGGAGCTGTGGTGCCAGAAGAGCCACGGAACCCCGCACCCAGCACAGCAAGCCGACGCGCGGCCCTCAACGCACACAGCGCTGCGCGCAGGGCCGCGCCAAGCAGGCGGCAGGAGCGGCCCAGCCGGCCCGGCGCGGGGTGGGGCGCGTCGATAGGGGCGGAACGCGGAACGCCGTCGGTTCGATCGCTCGGCGCTGCGGCGGCCCGCCTGCCGGGGGCGGGCGGAGGAGCGCGGCGGGTCGGGGCGAGAACGGGGCTGCAGCGAGGCGGACATGGCTTCGCAGCCGCCGCCTCCCAAGCCCTGGGAGAACCGGCGATTAGCGGGCGGCGTGGCGCCCGCCTTCCAGTGAGTGTGAGCCCCGAGCCCGGGTCTCTCCGGACGCGGCGGGGTCGGCCCTCGCGGGCGGCCGAGCTCAAAGGTCGGGCCTAGCCCGTCTGCGCGGCGCCGGCCCAGCGAGGCCCGGAGGCACGGAGGTCTGGCCGGGGAACTGTCGGGCGGGCCGTGCGCAGGGCGGCCATTCAGCCCGCTTCTTGGGGAGGTGTAGAGGTGTGGGGGAACGCTTCCACAGCAGAAGGGTGCTGTGGGCTCCGAGCCAGGCTGTGGGAAGCCGACGATTTAACGAGGCGGAGGCGGACGCGTTAGCAAATCTGTGTGTGTTGCCACGAGTGGAAAAAGCGCTGCCGTTCGTAGCTGAGGGTTGCGGTGCCGCGGAGCGTGTGCTCGCCGTGGGAGCGGGGCTGGCAGTGGAAAAGATGAATGTGTTTGTTGCCGCTGTGCTGACCGGGGGCTGGGCTCCTCAGTGTACGCGCTGGGAAGGTTGCCGTGCAGAAAGACTTGGCAAGCTCATTTAAATCAGAAATCAGGGAAAGCTTGATGGCTGAAGATCAGCCTTGTTTTCCACTTGGTGCTGTTGACTGCAGTTACGGTGAGCTGAAACTGGGTAAAAGGTTACCTCCAAACTGAACTTTCAGGAAAAACCATGCTTTCAGTGCAGGCTGAAGCTTGCTGAGTAGGACGTTTGATGTTAAGTTTTTTTTTTTTTTGTGAGGTTATCTAGCTCATTTTAATTTACTCCAAGTATCTTAAAAGTGAGCTGTCCTAAGCTGGTTTTTGGGAAGGTGCCCCCATCTTCTGTGGTAGTAACTTATTTTTACTTCTGCTTTTAACTGTTGAAGTCTAGATCAGAAGAAACAAACAGTATAACGTCACAAATATTATATTTCACTTTAAGTAAACCTGCAAGTTTTGCTGTGGGAAAAGTTGTTCCCTATCGTATATGTAAGTACTATAGCAGATATTGCTTCAATATGGAAAACAGCACATGTTGGACAGCTACTTGATAGAATTCAGGTGCCAACCTAGAACTTGCAGAGACCTATTAGAAAAGGCATAGGTAAACTGGCTGAAACTTACAGGCATGCAAAGGGCTAGAAGTTCATTAAATTAAACAAAAATAATAAAGGAAATGAGCTCATAATACCTCTTTCTGCCAACTGTTAGGAGTTCTAGATTCAATCCCAATTCGCTAAGGGAAAGCAGGGAGTCTTAGTCTCTTGTGTGTGCTGTATAGTCATTTGAATTTTCAGTTAGGTTCCACCAGCAGTCCAAGGGTGACTTCAGAGGAGCTGTCTAGCTTCCTTCTTGCTGTACCATTATCCAGAAGAAACGAGAACAAATTCTGGAATTAATGCTTTCAAATTGCAAAATATTCTTGGTAGTGTGTATGAGATGCTCTTTTGCAGAGGCAAATGACTTAGGAGTTCAATCAGCATCAAGTTGGGTGGGTCTAGCCATAGCATTTTGTGCTTTCAGTTGGTACAATAAAAACAGATTATATATGTTTCAGATATGCTGCAATTCTACACTTACAGTGAATTTTTTTTTTTTTTTAATGAAAGACTTGTATTTCTTGACAGAAATTTTTACTTCCCACTAACACTGTGCAACAGTACAAGTGTTTGGCAACCAGGTTCCTCAACCTGGCACTACCAAAATGCAAGGTCATATCGACAGCTATTCAAGAATGCTGGAGAAAATGAAAATATAATCTGATTTTGAGTACTGATCTTGGTTATCTGAATTTGTTTAGGTCTCCTGACTTGGGTGCCAACTTGTTGACCAGACAACCCACAGTTGCACGAATACCTCCACCTATTTTGCCAAGACCATCACACCAAACAGGAAACAGTAGTCTCAGTACTTTAAGGCCAGCATATAGCAGTTCTTTTACTACAGGCTATGGTTCATATGGAACTTCTTTTTATGGAAGCTACAGTCCTTACAGTTATGGATATGGTGGCTTGGGCTATAACCGCTTTCGTACAGATGATATTCCTCCCAGCAGGTTTGTTCAACAGGCTGAAGAGAGCAGCAGAGGTGCATTTCAGTCCATTGAAAGTATTGTGCATGCATTTGCCTCAGTCAGCATGATGATGGATGCTACCTTTTCAGCTGTGTACAACAGTTTCAGAGCTGTGTTGGATGTAGCCAATCACTTCTCCCGCCTCAAAGTACACTTCACAAAAGTGTTTTCAGCTTTTGCTTTAGTGAGAACTATAAGATATCTCTACCAACGTCTACAGCGATTACTGGGTCTGCGGAAGAGCTCCGAGAATGAGGATTTGTGGGCTGAAAGTCAGGGGACAGTAGCTCGTGTTGGTCTTGAAGACAAGGCAGCTAACTCGGCAAAATCCTGGCCTATTTTCTTGTTCTTTGCTGTTATTATGGGAGGTCCCTATCTGATTTGGAAACTGCTTTCTACATACAGTGATGAAGAATCAGGTAAAAATGATCTGCAGCATGGGAGAATCATGAGAAGTACAGAGTATATTGTTCATTTAGCTATCATGTGTATAGAGATTAACCTTACACTTCAGTAATGGAAGTTTATAGATTCTGGGGTACAACACTGAATTTTTTAAGCATGTGGTATGGTACAAGTAATAGCCTGTATAGCCTACTGTTGAACTGAGATTCAATTTCATGGTACGCTTTATGTGATTCCAAAATCATGATTCCTTTCTAGTGATTGTGGGAGGTGGAGAAGAAGGAAAAGCTGTTGGTTAGGTTTACTCACCAAATGTTGTCTTTGTTAGTTCTGTCAGTTCTCTGCTAGAGAAGCAAGGAAGTTAAGGTGTCTTCTCCATTTTTCTTTTATTAAAAAACCAAAAACAAACAAAAAAACTTTCTCATTCATAAAATTCAAAGCAAATAACTTCTTAATTTCTTTTGGAAACAGTATCTAGTAACTGGGCAAGTGGAGAAGATGATCATGTAGTTGGAAGAGCAGAATATGACTTCAGTGCTCTCTCAGAAGAGGAAATTTCCTTCCGTGCTGGTGACATTCTAAAATTAGCACCCAAAGGTAAGCTTTTAATTTTCAACTTGTTTTCTAATCATATGTGAAATAAGTTGTGTAGTTCGAAATATTGGGGGGGAGGGGAGGGAGGGAAGAAGGGGGCAAGGAGCAGGGGGAGAAAGTGAGAATGCAAAAACAAAACACCTTTTTTTTGATGCAATTCCTCATACCTACTGATTTTTTTATTTTTTATTATATGCACTGTAATAAAACTTAAATAGTTTTGTTCAATTTCCCTAATCTGTGACACAGCCTAAAAGTATTACTCAGAGTATACTTTGTGGTTACCTTTGTGGCTATCCTTTTTTCATATTTGTTGTACAACTGTGAAAATCCTTTGGCATTTGCAATATGGTGGTGTCAACAAATTCAGCTTCACAGTACACTTCAGAACGCCTCATCAATGCAGATCCTTCTCATTTCTCTTGCATAGTAATTTGTATTTCCCTTTTATTACAGAGTTAGTTTCCCTGTGTGATTAGGTGTGCTCTGCCTTCTTGTGTATTTGTGCCTCAACTGCAATATATTTTGAATTGCTTTGTAATGCTTTTGCGTTTTCTTTTTCAGACCAACAACCTAAAATCCGTGGCTGGCTTTTGGCAAGTTATGATGGTCAAACAACAGGACTTGTACCAGCTAATTATATCAGAATACTGGGTAAAAGAAAAGGCAGGAAAACAGTGGACCTGGAAAGGATTACAGAGCAACGTCCATCCTTCACTGGGATGTCTGTTAGAGGATCCACTGCTGCTTCGACTTTAGAGGAACACGAAGCTGCTTTTGATTCTGTTTTTATAGGAAGTAATAAAGTTCCTGTTGCATCTGACTCCACTGCAGTTAGTGGAGAGAAACAGGAACTCTAAAGCACTTTCCTCAACAAAGTAACTGAATGTTGTTTTATTGATAAAACTTAGGGTATGTTTAAAATCTATGTTGTAGTAGAACACTGATGGGCCTGTACCAGACTGGTGAAAGGATGGAGAAATTCTTGCTCAAATTTGTATTATCTCTTTTGATTCACCTAAGGCTGCATATTAGTGACAACCTAACCAACTTGCAGCACCTATAAGATCTGGAGCCAAGAAGAATCGAGGTGTTTATAACAAAGCAAACAAACAAGGAAATAAGGGCTGGCCTGTACTCATTAAGTAGACAAACTGTTGATAAAGTCTAGAATTAATGTCCAGTCTTCATTGGAATGTCAGCTTGACAAGATGCCACTTAAGCTGATGTGCAAAGGGAAAGTAAATTTCTGTGAAAAGTTGTTCAGAACTGGAGGCTGTGGACAATACTTTAGTAATAGTACTTTGTTTCCCTCTAAGAATTGGAAGAGATTTAGGTGACACAGTCAAACCACTACAAGTTCTCAATTGCTTGCCTTTGGTAAGAAGTACGGCTTCTGTCATAAAGACTTAGCTTGCTCTTTCTCTTTTTTTAATAAAAATAGTGACTTATGAGAAAGAGAAGGGGGCACATAAGAGAAGGAGATTAGAAATTTAAAAAAAAAAAAAAAAAAAAAGCAATGAGGCTTTGCTTGTTAAAATAACATTAGAGTAAAAGGTATCATCTAGTCAAGCACTTTCCAGGTTGCTCATTTTTACTCCCTTCTATGGTATGCTAATTTAGCATCACCTCTAGCATTTTGTGTTGTAGTCTATTAACTGCCTGTCAGTCGCCTATCAACTGCCGCATCTCATTTCCATTTTTTTTGTTTATATTTGTTTTTAAAGAATGTCAAAATATCCTGCATTTTAGTGCAATAGTAATGCTGTAGAGAGGCAGGAGTTCACAGAATTCCACTGAATGGCAAAGAAAATGTAAAGTTTCGTACTTAGTTGTCCCAGTTAGCTAAGTTCTTGGAGGTACATCTTTGCACTGCCATTCAGGTGGTAAATGTTGTATCAGCCCATAAAATTCGAGAGCTCTGATCTATCAAGAGCCATAAATGCATTAAAACTGTTCAGAGCGTGTAGTATTTTCTTCATACTGATGTTTGAGAATTCTGTATTGAAATACAATTTTTCTTAATGAAGGAGAGAGAAAACCTTTTTTCTTGTAGAATATATATGTGTATATATATACAACCATTTTAAAAGTTAGAGGAGTAGATAAACTTACTAAAACTTGTTTTTATGGTTAAAATACAGTTTTTATTTTGAAGATAGAAAAGTTAGGATACATGCTTTTGCTTAACTGATCCAGTAGTTTCAATTTTCTGCAAAGATCAACACCCATTACGTTTTTAAGCAAAGCTTTCAGTATTTACACTTTAATTGCATTTGCTGGCCTTCTTCTTAGAATTCTCAACAAAATGGACAAGAAAAACTGAGGAGAGCATAGTTTTATGAGAGAGTGACTGAGAAGATGCATCTTATGCTGGATCCTCAGATTTTTAAGTAACCTCTGAGTGCCTGTTTGATATAGCAAGAATAAGTGGCTGTGGTCAGGTATTGGGAGATACCATTTTTATTAGATTGTTAGATCTTCAAGTGGAGAGGAAGAAGTAGTTTAAAAAACAAATATGAAATGTGAAATTGGATTTAAAACAGAACATGTTTAAAAAACAGTAAACAATCATGACATATGAAATATATAGACAAGAAAAGTTGCAGGGGAAGGGTTAGCATGCACGGTTGTGCTTACAGTGTGTATTCATGGGAGGAGTTATTTACTGTTATGAGATTTACTTAATGGGCTATCAGTCTTCCATAGCAGTGTAAGATTTCAGTCAGAGGAAGGGTTTACATAAATAAACAATCCAAACTTTTTGTAGTGTACATTCCAGTAGACTTCTACTTACTTGCTCACAAGAAGTTTGGTAGATAGTGCTTTGGTGTTTGTTAGAATCTTTCTACTACTGATTTTAAGATGAATTCAATTTTTCACATTTTAAGACATACTATTTTGAAAACAGTTAGTAGGAAAATAGGTTATTAATAATGTCTTTACAACAGTTCAACTTTTGTCTACCAATCACTGACTCTCATAACTATCTGCTAAATGCTGGCAGAGGTTTTGATTCTTTCAGTCTTATGATTAACGAGAAAAGGAAGACAAAGCAATGAACTAAGTTATTTAGGTGCAGAAGAGCATTAAAATTAAGTAAAGTGCATGTGTGTTTTAAGATTTAAATTTTTTTACGTGTACAAACTAATGTCAGAAAAAGGCCTGAATTGTACAATCCCATTGTATGCACTTCTGGCTGTATGTCAGCCTACGGGGGAAAAAATCATCTAAATGAATCTGATTGAAAAAGGGCAGCCTGTCAGCTATGCTCTCAAGACTTGCCCAACTTAAGAAAAGTGAGAAGACTGAAAGGAGCAGGTGTGGCTGCAACAGGAGTAGGTGGAAGAGAAGATTAGGAAAGCAGTTGACTCTTAGATCCTAAGACCTCTACATTCTATGTTATTCTTATATTATTCTTTGAAATTGTTTATATGCCTGTAGCATATAGGCATAGAAGGCTGTAACAGACCTATGACATTTGCATATATAAAATCTGAGTTTATTCTTACTTTAGTGTCATTGATACCCAGTTTAGTATACCAGCCATTTTATGCTTGAATACTGTATGAGCTAATGACAGCTGCCAGTTTCAGCTGGTTCTCTGGGTGCTAGCAGGATGCGAATATGCACATGTTCAATGCTTTGCTCAGGTTTCTGAAGAATAAATTAAAAATATTCCTCGTGTAGTGGAAGTTTCTAAAATCTTCTGCTCCTTTTGCACAGGTTCAAATACTGTTTCTTCTGTAGAACATCTTAGCTGGTAAGATTGTTTTGGCATATTAGGTCATTTTGCTGAAACGTGCTAGTTGGGTAAATACGAAGCAAATTGTTTCTTATGAATCTGTTCAGTGAAAATTTTCCAAAGGAGGTATCAACACAGAAACACATCAATTTCTGTAATGCGCTATCAACACTGTAAAGAAACGCACAACATTCCTTAGAAGTTCTTGTTGGTGATAGCAGAGGAACGCTTTATTTTCCACAACGCAGGTGACTTTAACCTATTTTCGTACACATATGCGCAGGTGTGGCCGCGCGCTGGGCTTTGCCAACACTTGTGGCCTGCAGTGGGGATGTCGTTGTGTCCACAAGCGATAACGTGCGCTCCTTCCGCTTGCCTCCTGACGCTGCTGCTGTTGTGCGCGCTGCGTCCTCGCTATAAAGCTTCCTCCCCAGGAAGCTCTCGCCTTTCGCCTCGTTGCTTCGTTCCGCCCCGGCTGAGCCCGTGGCGGCGCTGCAGGGCGGAAGCGGAACAGCGTTGATGACGAAAAGGCGGCGTCGCCCCAGGCCTGGGGGGCGCGTAGCCAGGCGACCGGACGCGGGCTTGAAGAGGGCGCTGCCGCTGCACTGCGACAAGGTGGGGCCGCCGGGAAGGGCGGGTCCTCCTCCGCGACACATCGCGGGAAGAGCTCCGCCCCCGCTCCTCCCGGGCGCGCTATTGGCCGCCGCCGGCGAAGGGGAGCGGAGTCTCGTCGCCCGCCAGGCGCCGGTTGGCTGTGAGCTGCCCCCTCACGACGCTCCCCGCCTCCTCGCTCCCGCTTTCTGAGAAGGTGGCGCTGGGCGGTGCCGGCGTCTGAAGCGGCCGTCGTACGGCTCGGCTCGGCTCGGCTCGGCTCGGCTCGGCTCGGCTCGGCTCGGCTCGGCTCTGCGGCTGAACGCGCCGCGCGCTGCTGCTGCTGGCGCCCCTCCCGGCTCCTCAGGAAGCGGCTCCGTCCGCCCGCTCTCCGCCTGCTCGCTCTCCGCCTTTGCGCCCGCTGCCCCGCCGCTTTGCGCTGTCCTGGGAGCCCGCCAGGTAGCCCTGCCCTTTGCGGCCGGACAGGGCCGGGTCCCTCAGCGGGAGGGCAGCCCCCGACGGGATCCCGTATTGTTATCCATAGGAACGTGCCTTGGTGTTATCGCAGAGCTCCTCGCTGCTGCTATTATTCTGCATGGAATGAGTGGGTAAAACGTTATTTGCGGTGCGATTGGGTTTGAGAGTTTCGTAATGTTTTTGAGTAATCGTTATCACTGCATAGTGATGTATGCGTCATTTTGTTACAGCAAAGTGCTTAAAACTTACTGCGTTTGTTCCTTTAAGTCATAAACTCTCACTATGGCAGAATGACTGCTTTTCTTTTTTTTGTTATCCCTTATGATCCTGTTGTAGGAAGAGCTGATACATGCAATGTTGGCATTATTAGTACCTTTACTCAAGTTTATTTTATATCTTGAGACCAGGGGATTCTTGGCGCTCCATCACTGACTCATTTCCATGGATTTGTAAAGCAGGAGCAACGTGCACAGAAATCAGTGAAAGAAGTGGGCTTTGTGTCCTGTAACCACATAAGTTTACCTCTGGTGCAGACCTGTCCACACCTTGAATTTGGTACACCAGATATTGCAGATATTCAATGGCTTAAGTCTGGTTGATTGTTGTGTGTCTGTGAGCTGCTGGAGAGAGGTTACCAAATTACCACAGTGGCATCATCTAATACTGCCATCATGGTAAGGGCTTAAGGACTCAAATGTGGGGACTGATCTACCTGTACTTCATAGCAGTATCTACATTAGTTGGAATTTGGAGCTTGTATGCATTTATTCTTCAGCTGTTTGAAATGCTTTGCAGTAGATTTCATTTAAATGAATTGGCAAACTGCTGTGACTTTTATCTATTTGACTTATCTTTCTAAAAAGAAGGCCTTCAACCCACTGCTGTAGTTTGTGGTGTTTTTGCTTTGTTTAAATCTCATGAACGTAGGGAACCTAAGCATTACCTTAGCATGCTCTCGTTTCTTTAAATTTCTAATGGTTTCCTTTCGCTGCACTTTTGAGAGAATGAAGGCTTATAATTATCTGCAAATTTTGTTTCTAGTAAAAGCAACAACAAAAAACACCTTCTGGAATGGATTCTATTGTCAGAAACAAAATCAGTGCTTTTTTAATGTATTTGTCTCCTCTTCTAGCTATATGGATAGAAAGCTATGCAAAAGAAACACCTACCTGTATTATTCCTTTTGTAACAGGGAGTTAGTTAAATCTGCTATGGTCCAGATGTATTTTCCCCAAAATTCTCTACGATCCTTGCTTTATACATTAAAATTCAACTGACTTTCAGATTCTGCTATTTATGCGATCTGCAGAAGGTACTTCAGAAAAAGTCTTAAGTAATCTCCAAATACGAGTCCTTATTAAGCTCTCTGACTGGGTACTAGTTAGTTATGGAAGTCTTGGTTAATGCCAAAAGTTTTCTCAGAATATACCCTTTTCTCAAATGTAAAATGCATTTAAATAAATATGCGGGCTTTTGTTTTCCAATTATTTGGACTGCATTTTATGTGTTCAGTGCTTATGCTTTGTTCTGATGTTTGATCTGTTGCTTAACTTGAAACTGGAGGAACAAGGTTCCTTGACACTAATAATCCCAATAACTGGATGTTGTGAGTGCTTTAGGACGACTCAAAACTCAGGTGTTCAGGATGAAGGTGTTTTGTTCTTAAGTTTAAGCGACTGTCCCTTAGCTGGATGCCATGAGTTGACCCCTATAAGATGGGAGTCAGATTTATAAAACAAAAAGTAGAGCAAGAAAAGGCCAACATAGGAAGTTTGGAGAAAAGCAGAAAAAGATTATGTAAGTGCAAGTAAACTTAAATGTAAGAGCCCTTCTGTAGTTTAGGCTTTCTTCTGAGACTTCAGGAGGCCCTGTTTTGCACTGAAGAGCTCAGTGTCATGAATCCTTCTGAAAATAGACACTGGATAGTTCCCTTTCAAGCTGCTGAAAGGGGAGGGAGGTAGTTTGGGGGTATATCCTGAACAATTAAATACCAATTTCTTGCACAACCTTCAGAGTACTTTTCTGTAGTACTCTGAAAATTATTCTCACCCTTGGATTCAAGAACCTATCTGGGCTCTGGATCCTTTATTTTCAGTTCCTTCTTCAGGGGAGAGAATTAAAAATTCGTATTTTAGAGTTTTGATAGAGTTCTTTTGTTCCAATTATTTAGCAACTGAGGGAAGCAAAGCATTTCACATGCGTTTCACTTTATTCTGGCTTATATAACACCTACGGTATAGCTCCAAGGTTTTCATGGAGTTAGAGATGCAATCTTAAGAGCAGATAGAACACAATACAAGTTTGTATAATTCATACCAATTTTTAACTAGAGCGGATGTTGTTTTTTAACAACATAATAATGGTTTCATGCTAATATATAGGACTGTGATGTCTAGTGGTTGGTGGATGGGCGTATCTCCTGTGTAGTTGATTGTAGGGGTAGAAGCATCTAGCCAATGTGTATGACTGACACTTAGGATAAAATAGTGTGATTGCTAGAGCAGGATGGCAGAGCAACAGCAGCAAGTCAGTAGGACTGATGTTTTAGTTAGCATGCATACAAGGAAGGGAAGAGACCAGAGAAGAAACCTAGTAATATTTTTGATTGACTAGGTTGTTATTGTGTGGTCTCTTACACAGTGGTTTTGGGTTGTGTTTTTTTTTCTTTTTTTCTTTTTTTTTTCAGTTATAGATATTTTTGTGGAATCTTAAGTTTTATCTTGGCTCAGCAAAGAGGTGATCAGGTTCTTCTATGTGTTAGTAACTTGGACCTGGAAACAGCAGCTCTTCCCGCTGTACTGTATTTTCCTTATTGTCTTGTTCAGACTTGTACTTCGATTCATAAGTTAGGGAAAGAGAGACTTTATAGCATCACATTGCTTTCTCATTCAAGAGTAGACTTTCTTCTAGACTGCATTTAGAGTGTGCTTCTAAAAACTGTTGCTTCTAGAAACAACAGTCTCTTGGAGCAGCTGTTTGTGGCTTCTTTTTCTACCCCCACTTTTTTTTTTAATAAAACTTTTTAAGTTTACATACAAGTGGATTTTTCTGTGTTTTCGTGTTGAAGCAACTCAAAAGAGTGACATGCTGTAATTGAGTCTGATTTGATGTGTTGTATGTTTTCTCTCTGTCCCCTTATAGAATTTGAGTATGCGGATATGAAAATGTCATGGTTTTATGATTTCTGTTGGCAGTATTCCACATCATCACATCATGTAGTGCACTGGGAATCTCAGATGTACTACAGTTCCCAGAATTTTATGTCACCAGACTAGCTCTCTTTGCTCCCTGGCAGATCAGACTAAGAACCTTGGTTTTCAGAAACTCTCTCATTTATTTGATTTATTAGCTTAATTCCTGATTAACTTTTTTTTTTTTTTTCTGTTATTATTAGTAAGCTATGTTTGTTTTCCTCCTCAGATCATTACCACTTTTTTTTTTTTTTTTCCTATTCATTCCTTTCCCCCCTTCTTTGTGTCTGTTGGTCTGCTGCCTCCTGGTCAGAGATACAGATCTAGAGATAAGACCATTACTGGTGAGCATTGGCTTAGATATTCAATCTGAACTTCTTAATGTTAGCAAAACGGAGGTCTATTAAAATGCCATAAAGAGAGTTGCAGAGTAGTGTACCTAGCTTTGATCTTCATAGATTAGATAATAGGCCAGGTGGTTTGCCAGGCTCTGGACACTGCACAAAGGTTTTTTTTTTCTTTTGGCACCGTGTCAACTATGAAGCTGTTCTCTATTTTGAAAGTGCCATATAAAGGATTAAAAGCCATTATGTTCAGGATTTTAATTGTTAGAATGTACTGGTTTCTTATTAAGTTAATCATTCTCTATTTTGGAGTTGTCCAATTAAGGACACTGATGGAGACACCTACCTGCTGTGCAATGTTGTATGATTTGAGTATTGGCAGTTACATCCCAGAGGGTGTAGCTAATTTTACAGACAGCATGATGTTTAAACGTGTTCCCAGGTTCTACTCTTAGTTCTTTAGTCTCCGTGTCGAACTAGAGAGAAAGAGCACTGAAACTGCGCAACCTGTTCAATCACAGGAGGCACCAGTATTGATGTCACTTGCCCCCGTGCAAGGACAGAAATGGAAACAGGTGTCATTGCATATAGAATAGAAAGAAGAAGCGCAGAAAGTAGAGGAAGACCCAGGTGAGGGCCCCTCTACAAAATCACCGTCACTAAGAAAGACAACAGGAAAACTAAAAGACAAGAAGAGAGTGAGGAGGAAGTCACCGTTGCCATTTCTCATCGACCCCTGAAAATGACTGAAATCCAAGTTTCAAGAAGGGTGTTTGCATGGTGCCCAAATGCAACTATTGTTACCTGGTTGCTTTGGTTTTGGGACACTGTGGTCAGTAGCGTGACCGCATTGTTGCTAGATGATAATGAAGTTCACCAATTGGGAAGCATTACTAAAGACTCAGCTATTGACGGAAGAATTGTGAATGTCTGTACAGAGCTGCCACCCTCTGGGAATAAGTGTTACTGGCCGTAAAGGAAAGATATCCCTCCAAAGACAATCTGGAGCCTGAGATGAAGAAATGGACTACTATTGAAAAAGGTATCTAGTATTTGAGGGAAACAGCTCTAGTGGAAATGTTGTATGACCCCAAGTTTGTTCCTAATAATCCATGCCAAGACCGTGATCCTGGGAGAGTTAGGAGTACATCAAGTATGTGGTGGAAACTCACAGGAACAGCACCAGAAAAGTATGCTAGTACACTAGCAGCAACATTTGGAAGGCATGAGGAACAACAGAGAAGATCCCTAGTGTTTGAACTGATTATTATGCTTCAAAACTTGGAGTAACAGTTACCTCTGTTTCACGTTTATATTTAAGCCATCTTGAAAGTAACAGAAAAACTAGATAAAATGGAGAAGCATCAGACAGTATACTGGAAGAACTGTCTATTTGTGATGAACCTGTGGTGGTATCAGTAGCACCTGATGAAGATCAGGATGATCAGAACAGCTACTGAAGGAGCTGATCAAACTGATTACAAGTGATGAACCCTGCTCCTCGCCTGTATCATCAAAAATCTCAGCTATTAGAAGCAGACATCTTCCTGCTCAAGCAAATGACAGTGGTAAATCTGTGTTGCGTGCTGCCTTGTGGAATTACTTATGTGAGCATGGGGAAGATATGAAGAGGTGGCGTAAAAGACCCACTCCTGTACTACGAGCATGGGTGAGAGAATTACAAAGCAGATCAACCGCCATTGTGATCATTCCAGTTACTGCAGATGCTGATCATGACTCACAAGAGAAGAATGCAGGTAACAAATGGAGAAGCTCTGCCCTCAGCTGGAGGGGAAGAAACAGGTGATAGTGTATTGGACTGTGTGGATTTGGTGGCCTGGCACATCAGACCCACACACAGAAATATGAGGCACTGGTAGACACTGGTGCACAGTGCTCTCTAGTGCCCTTGAGTCATGAGGGCATCAAACTGGGTGTTTAAAGGGAGGGTTCCCTCCACCTATCATGCCACTGTTGCTACTTGGAGTAAGTGAATTGCACTGATTACAGTGAGCTCAAATGGGGAACTTCTGTCATCCAGGAGTCCTAGAGGTGATCAGGGACTGGCCTGAGGGTAAAAAGTTTGAAACGTCACCAAGAGAAAAGATACTGTGTGCTAAAGAGGTTCCACCATACCAGAAAAATGAATTACCGGAAAATGAAACTAAATGTGCCCTGTTCACTGATGGATCATGTTGTGTTGTGGGGAAGCATTGCAAGTAGAAATCTGATGTGTGGAGCCCCACACAACAAGTTGTGGAGGCCAGTGAAAGACAAGGAGCATTAAGCCAATTTGCAGAGGTAAAGGCTGTCCAACTGGCCTTACATGTTGCCGAATGGGAGAGATGGCCAATGCTTTATACTGGCTCATGGATGGTGGCAAACGCCTTTTGGGGGTGATTACAGCAGTGGGAATGAAACAACTGGCATTGAAGGGGTAAACCTATTTGGGCTGCTGAACTGTGGAAAGGTATTGCTGCCAAATAAAGAATATGATTGTAAAGGTGCACCATGTAGATGCTCATGTGCCCAAAAGTTGGGTTACTGAAGAACAACAAAATAACCATCAGGTAGATCGAGCTGCAAGAATTGAAGTGGCTCAGATGGACTGGCAAAGCAAGGGTGCATTGTTTCTAGATTGGTGAGCCCATGAGACCACAGGCCACCAAGGAAGAGATGCAACATGTAAGTGGGCTAGAGACTGAGGGGTAAACTTAACCCGTGCAATATTGTCTATAGTTATTCATGACTGTGAAACATGCACCGCAATTAAACAAGCCAAGAAGATGAAACCTCTCTGGGGGGAAGGGTGATGGCAAAAGTATGAATATGGGGAGGCGTGGCAGGTCGATTATATCACCTTGCCACGATCTCGCAATGGTAAATGTTACATGCTTACCATAGTGGAAGCAACCTCTGGGTGGCTTGAAACACATGCAGTACCCCATGCCACTGCCCAAAACACCATATTGGATCTGGTGAGACAAATCTTGTGGTGACATGGCACTACAGAAAGAATTGAGTCAGATAATGGGACGCATTCAAAAATTCTCGTTAGTGCTTGGGCCAAAGATCATGGCATTGGGTAGATTTATCATATCCTCTGTCATGCACCAGCTTCTGGTAAAATCAAACAATACAATGGGCTGTTAAAAGCTGTCAAAAGCAGTGGGTGGCAGAACATTTAAGCTTTGGGAGAAGCATTTGGCAGAAGCTATCTGGTTGGTCAATACTTGAGGATCTATCAATTGAGATGGTCCTACCCAATTCAGCTCCCTACATACTGTAGAGGTAGATAAGGTCCCTGTAGTACATGTAAAGAGCATGTTTGGAAAAGCAGGCTGGGACTTTCCAGCTTCAGGAAAGGGCAAACCTCTCTATGGAACTGTTTTTGCTCAGGGACCTGGATCCACTTGGTGGGTGATGCAGAAAAATGGGGATGTTAAATGTATACCACAAGTGGATTTGATGTTGAGGGAGTGCAGTCAGTAATTCCAGTATGTATGTATGTGTATATGTGTTTGTGTGTATGTATGTATAAAAGCGTGTGTGTTTAATGCATGTTAATTATTGTTTGCTTGTATATGTATTAAGCATGATGTAGTGATGTGGAATAAGGTGTGGAATGTTGTGGTTTATGATTTTTGTTATCAGTATTTCACATCATGTAGTGAACTGGGAATCTCAGAGAAGAAATGTACTACAGCTCCCAGAAAACTTTGCTGTTCTGCTTCCATTTTCCAGTTGATGGAAAAGATAAAACACAAGATTAGCTCTCTTTGCTCCCTGGCAGATCAGACTAAGAACCTCAGTTTTCAGAAACTCTCTTATTTATTTGATTTATTAGCTTAATTCCTGATTAACTTGGGTTTTTTTGTTTGTTTGCTTGTTTTTTGCTATTATAATTAGTAAGCTAAGTCCTCCTCCGACCATTACTGCTGTTTCCCTTTCATTCCCTTTTCCTCCCTTTTTTCAACTTTTTTTCAATGCCTGTGGGCCTGCTGTCTCCCTGTCATGGATACAGATCTAGAGTTAAGACCATGACAGAAATACAGGCGAGTGTTATTGCTATGAGGACTGTAATACTGTGATGTTTCCCACAGTAACATACATTACCTTCTGCACTCCACAAGTTAATCTTTAGCAATTGTTGCAATGAGATTTGATAATAAAGTTTTCTCTTCTAGGTGTGAGCAGCAAAAGATGAGTCGTGGTTTTTCAGAAAACAATAACTTTCCGTATGACAACAATCAAATGGTTTTGGATATGATCCTGTGTTCCCTAATTGGTGTTTCTCAGCCTATCAACTGGGACAGCGTGGCAAGGCTAGTTCCTGGATATACATCCAAAGAGGTGAATTTACTAATAAAGGAGTCTGTATACTTTAAGCAGTATATGATGAAGAAGATAGCTTCTTGGGAGGGAGGAAAATTGAATTTAAGGGAGTTTTGGTTTTGTTTTGTTTTTAATAAGTAATTTATAATTGGGAGAACTGAAAACTTTGCACAGTAGATTGAAGAAAAAATCTGTTTCTACAGAACACTGAGATTAAGAAATACATTCTGCATTTTTTTCATTAAGGCTGGTACAAAATAAGAATAAAAATGTTTGGAAAGTAGAAATGGAAATTGTAACAGCAAGTGAAAACTTACGATGTATTTAAATTTACCTGGCTAAGATTATTTTCATGGAAAGGGTGGCAGTACCTAGTAACTTGTAGCTTGTAGGTTACGAGTTTGTGATTGACATTGTAATTCTAAGTAAGAGTTCTGAAGGAGTGCAGTTGTCTTTTTTGCTTGGTCTTAGAAGATATGGACTGTTCTTTCTTTGGTTGGATGGAAATCATAAAGCAAAATAATAGGAATTATGAAGAAATTATGGCTACTTTAATAATACTTCACAACGCTTTAGATTTAAAAAACAAAAAACAAACAAACAAAAAAAAAACAACCTAGCATCAAAAAGAGAATTTAAGCACTCCCTTAATCTCCCTTTTGAAGATCAGGCTTAAAATTGTATGCCTTATGAAAATAAAGATTGAAACAGTTTCCATCATATTTCTTTTTTCCAGTTAGAGTATGATCAAACTGTTCATGTGCACAAGGTAATGCAAAATACAGTATCTGCCTCAATTTAGAATTGTTAAAAATGTACTGAAAGCTACTGCTTCATTGTCCTATGATTTAATTTTGTGACAGTGTGCAAAAAGGTTTGATGAACTAAAAAGCACTGGAAGTTCACCTGTTGACAACCACTATAATCCCTTGATGGCTGCTGATGAGAATCCTGTGGAAACTTTAGCTGTGTACATCAAATCCTCCTTGCTTGACACACGGACAGAATTTCAGGACCCTGCTATTGGGCAGGATTCCATTACTATAACTGGTATGTTTTTAGTTGTTCTGAAATATATTGGCTTGGGTTATAGTCAGTGTGTGCATGCTTTTCTGTCTGGAGTGCTAAGTCCACCCAGAAGTAGTCTTTGTCTTTGAAGGAGAAAAGTTAAGCATACTTAATAATGTGTACACAAAGTCTCTTTCAGTTAGTTTACATTGAGGCAGTAGATATTTTCAATAGCTTGCCTTTCTGAAAGGTATTTTTTGTGGGAGCACATAAATGATGGAATCATGGAATGCTTAGAGTTGGAAGGGACCTTTAAAGGTTATCTTGCCCAACTCCCCTGCAGTGAACAGAGACATGCACAGCTAGATCAGGTTACCCAGTCCCTGATCCATCCTTGCCTTGAAAGGGACAGGACATCAACCCCATCTCTCTCTCTATATTATATATATATATATGTGTGTGTGTGTGTGTATAATACAATATATTAATATATATGAATATGTCAATATATACATATTATATATATTATATTATTATTATATTATCTCACAGTATTTTTAATAATGTATTAATCTCTCCACCTGTTCCAATGCCTTACCACCTTCACTGTAAAATACTTTTTTTTCCCTTATATCCAACCTAAATCTTCCCTCTTTAAGCCTGAAGCCATTTCTGTCACCACAGACCCTACTAAAGAGTTTGTCCCCATCTTTCATGTAGGCTCCCTTTTAGATATTGAAAGATCACCTCGCAGCCTTTCTTCTCCAGGCTGAACAGCCCCAGCTCTTTCAGCCTGTCCTTGTAGGAGAGTTGTTCTGTCCCTTGGATCGTTTTTGTGGCCCTCCTGGACATGGTCCAACAGGTCTATGTCTCTCCTGTACTGAGGACTCTGCATCTAGACTCAGTACTCCAGGTGATGCCTCACCAGCACAAAGTAGAGGGGCAGAATCACCTCCCTCACTCTGCTGGCCATGATGCTTTTGATGCAGCCCAGGATGTTTGGCCTCCGCCAATTGACCCCATTGCATTTGACCCCATTATCAATGTCGCTAATGAAAATATTAAAGAGTATCGATCATTGCTGACCCCTGTGGGACACTGCTCATCACTGATCTCCACCCAGACATTGAGCCATTGACCACCACTCTCTGGACTCAATCTTGCCACCAGTTCTTCATCTACTGAATAGTCCATCTATCAAATCCTGCAGCTAAACCTTTCTGTTCAGGATTTTTGATAGAAGGAGGATTTATTTTGTTTTGAATCCCCAGTGGTGCATTGTTAACTGCAAACATTTGCGATCGCAGTAAGCTGTGTTATTAAAATAACTTGAAAGCTTTGTGTAGAAAAGCTGCAGAGAGGTCAAACTCTCCTTTCCCAGCAAAAGGCCCTGTGCTTGCCATGGTACTTAATGGCAAGAAGGACATGTAGGAGTTAAGAACATAGTCTGATTACTTTTTGATGCTGGATAGCTTGCAGTGCCACACAACGTGTCTTAGTCAATTATGTATCTCAATAACATTTTGACAGAAGATCATTCATAATAGTTGTGCACTTATTGAAATATTAAGTGTTTCTACTGTAATTAACTATATGATAGTTATTCTTTAGATTTCAGTGTGTTCTGAGATGTTTTAGATGTTTTCAGCATGTTGTAGAACTAGGCAAATGTGTTGCATGAGAAACTTGCTTTGCTGGAGTAATGAGTGGACTATTTCTCTGTTGCAAGGTGAAAAGCTAGTGAAGTATCAAATAAAACGCTCTCTCATAATGTCTTTCAGCATTGGTTTCTGGTTACTTTTTTTGCAGAATAAATGCAGCTGTTTGACCTTCGCTGGAGAACAAATGTTTTTATTATAGCTAAGAGAGATAACATATGAAAACTGTAAATAAAATACGTAGACCAGGATTGCTTTTATCAGCTTTCAACTTTTTACTTGCTGAACACAATACCTGGAACAAATTCTTCTTGCACCTACAGGTGGCTGCTTAGAAGATTATTAGCTTCCCAATAGGTAGTTACTCTGCTCATAGAGCTCTTTAGACATCTAGAGCATATTTTCTTTTTAATTGTTTAATACATGTAAGAAGTATTAATGTAGTTAAGTACCCTAATGTTTCCTAATCAAAAGATAATAGTGGCCTGAGAGATTCTGTGTTGCTTTTTTCTACCACGTTTTTTGTGACTTGAAAAAATTATTTTTTGTTTATATATAACTTCTTAATATGAAATTAAGGTATTTTTTTTCTCACAGGTTTGTAGTGAATTCACTTTCTTAATATTTGTGGGGTACTCATATATTTCAGAATTAAGGATTTGAGAAAAGTCCATTTGTAAATTGTTTTTTCATTTAATTACTTCCTTGTGTATTCACATATACATATTTATATGGGCAAAAATCTAGAACCTTGCTTTTAGATGTGGGTAATAGCAAGTAAAAGTAATCAAACCAAATTCATTTTGAATTGGGTTTTGTTTCTTGTTTGAGTGATTAAAAACATAATTTACTACACACTAATTACAAGGCAAATTGCTGCCAAGTCCTACTGAATGGCAGTAAACAAGTATATAGGACAGACTTACCTAAGTCAGTAGCTTTCAAACTTTGAGCCATCTATAAGCTCTGAGAGAAGATGGGGAAGAAAAAACAAAGTAGAAACATATGCTGAAGTTCAGTTAATCTGACTGCTGCATATTCTTGACAGCATTATTTCCTTTTCTTCATTAGATAACTTCACTGTGTCCAAAATAATTTCTTAATATTTACGAACAAAACTCTTCCATGTAGTTTTTCCCACAGACCTTTCCTTTTAAAATATTCATTTTACCTAGTGTTCAAAATACAGACTTCTACCTTGGCAGTATTTCTGCTAGCATGGGTCACATGCCTGCAGTTGAATGGCTACACTGAAGGCTGTGGCTGACCCTTCCAAGGTTCTCCTAGGGTCCAATAAATTTCCCATTTTGTTGACTACCTTTCTTTTATTATGGCCTTACTGAGGCTTGGCTGTGCAAAACAGTAAGCTATATCTTTGGAGAAAGCTTTGTTCTGCATTTGGCGTGATAACTAATTTTCCAGAAGGTGTAACTGTTGCATTGTGAACTGCATAGAGCTTCAAAATGATTTGTTATCATTCTGCTGTTGTAATGTAGTCATAAGATAAGAAGAGCTATCTTAGTCTTCTTCAGAGTAGTTCAGCCTCCTCTATTACATGAGAGGGAGAAGGTGCTTCTGGAACCATATGATCTTTAAGGTCTTGTCCAAACTAAGCTATCACAGTAGGAAAAGTTATTCAAAGTGTGAAGCTAGAGTATCTTAGCTCTTGATGCAGAACCCAATGGGTTTATTGACTAGACCTGCTAGCCTTCAGTTTTTCTGTATCTGTTACGTTGCCTGAATGTGTTTTTGAGGAAAATATTAGAAATAGAACTCAGCTTCCCTTTATGCTTGAAATAAGCTGCATAATGTAGTTCCAGGAAGAGAGAAATTTAATGGTCAGCTTTTTATGAGCATTGTTTTATCCCATTGGTTGCTTTAATCCATGTAATTATGAAACTTACCAAAAAACACATTTACAGAGACTTCTATGCTTTTGTTTGGAAGCAGCTTTTTTTCAGAGCTTAAAAAAAAAAAAAAAAAAAGCAAGGATAAGAAGTATTGATACAGGATTGATCTGAGTTTGCAGCCAAGTGTCTGGGCATCCCAGCAATGCTGCTCATCTTACACTTGTGTTTTACAGTATTCAGAGGGATTTGGATTATCTAGTAACCCTTGTGGTAGCACAAATCTATCACAGAATCACAGAATTGCCAGGGTTGGAAGGGACCTCAAGGATCATGAATCTCCAACCCCCCTGCCACATGCAGGGCCACCACCATTCCTCCTAATGCTAGACCAGACTGCCCAGGGCCCCATCCAATCTGGCTTTGAACACCTCCAGGGACGGGGCATCCACAACCTCCCTGGGCAGCCTGTTCCAGTACCTCACCACTCTCTCCGTAAAGAATTTTCCCCTGACATCCAACCTATATCTCCCTTCCCTCAGCTTAAAACCATTTCCCCTTGTCCTGCTGTCACTCACCCTTTCAAAGAGTTGATTCCCCTCCTCTTTGTAGGCTCCCTTTAGGTACTGAAAGGCTGCAATGAGGTCACCCCGCAGCCTTCTTTTCTCCAGGCTGAACAAGCCCAGCTCCCTCAGCCTGTCCTCATAGGGGAGGTGCTCCAGTCCCCTGATCATCTTCGTGGCCCTCCTCTGGACCCTCTCCAACAGCTCCCTGTCTTTCTTGTACTGGGGGCTCCAGACCTGGACGCAGTATTCCAGATGGGGCCTCACAAGAGCAGAGTAGAAGGGAACAATCACCTCTCTGTCCCTGCTGGCCACCCCTCTTCTGATGGAGCCCAGGATCCCATTTGCCTTCCGAGCTGCAAGGGCACACTGCTGGCTCATGTTAAGTTTTTCGTCTACCAAGACCCCCAGGTCCTTCTCCACAGGGCTGCTCTCAAGGACCTCTCCTTCCAGTCTGTAGGGATGCTTGGGATTCCTCCGGCCCAAGTGCAAAACTCTGCACTTTGCCGTGTTGAACCTCATCAGGTTCACCCGGGCCCACCTTTCTAGCCTCTCGAGGTCCCTCTGAATGGCATCCTGTCCTTCAACTGTGTCAACCACACCACTCAGCTTGGTGTCGTCAGCAAACTTGCTGAGGGTGCACTCAATTCCATCATCAATGTCATTGATAAAGATGTTAAAGAGCACCGGTCCCAAGACAGATCCCTGGGGGACGCCGCTCGTTACCAGCCTCCACCTGGACATAGAGCCATTGATGGCCACCCTCTGTCTGCGGCCTTTCAACCAGTTTCTTATCCATCGAGTGGTCCACCCATCAAATCCACATCCCTCCAGTTTGGAGAGAAGGATGAGGTGGGGGACCATGTCAAAGGCCTTGCTCGAGTCCAGGTAAATGACATCGGTCGCCTTTCCCTTGTCCACCGATGCCGTCACTCCATCATAGAAGGCCACCAGATTGGGCAAGCACGACCTTCCTCTGGTGAAGCTGTGCTGGCTGTCACGGATCACACGCCCTTTCCTCATGTGATCAAGCATGTCATCCAGGATGATCTGTTCCATGATCTTCCCAGGCACAGAGGTGAGACTCACCGGCCTGTAGTTCCCAGGGTCCTCCTTGCTCCTTGCAAATCTATTGCTCATTACTTAACATTGCTCTGCAATGGAAGCAGTACTTCCATTGCGTTTCCAAAATATTGAAAAGCAGAAGATCAGGCATTTTTTATCTAATGCAGCCTTTTTCTCCTTACTCTTAAGGAAGGCCCAGCACAACCACAAGGAATTGTTCTTCAGAATCTGACAAAGGTCCTGTGCATAAAGGTGAAGAAAGCACTGCTGAGAGCCAGGGGTAAGAAGGTCCTTGCGTATTTGTTATTTGGAGGATTATAATGCTGACAGAAAGTTGTCTGAAGTTCCTTTCTACATCACAGCGAAAATGTCTAGGAGCATCCAGGAAAAATCTATAAGAAATTTTGAAGCTTTCTCTTGCAACAGAAATGTTAGGGATTGTTTTGAGAATTTATGTGCCGGGGGTGACTTATTTATGAATTTGTCCCTAGTGTTTGCCTGAAAATGATTGATCATTGCAGTGGTAAGAATAGGAAACAACCTGATTTCTAAAAAAGAATAAATGAAGATTGACGCTGAATGACATTTAACTTAAAAAATAGTTACATTCTGTGAACATGGGTACATCCTCTTCATGGGACAGATGGAAAAGAAAACTGTAACTGAAAAATACAAATGAACAATTTTACTACCCATTCAAATAGCCATGCACATCACATTTTCTTTACTGTATGAGCACGTTCAGAGTAACATGTTTGACTCATGCGTAAGCATAGCCATCTTTCTCTGGAGTCAGCATAGACTGATTCTAGCTTTTACCATAATAGTCACTTTAATATAAAATAAAGCAGCTTTAATTTCCACTGGTGAAAGTTGTTACCATATGTTATTGTCTTTTGTGCCTCAGTAAGTTACACAATTTTATCTGCATATTTTTTCACTAAAATAAAAAAGTGAGAACAAATAAGCTCTGTATATAATTCAAGTAGCATCCTATAACAAACTAGAGACAAAATAGGGGAACTGAGCTCAAACTTTTTTCTGCTGATCCTGAACTTTTAAATGTCTCTGTTAAATGGATCACGTGTCAGAGACACATTTGTTTTTCACCTAGTGTCTGATAATACTTTCTATTAATAATTAATAACTGCAATTTTTATTCCATCTGTTAATAAAAGCACTGACATCAGTATTGCAATGTGTGATCCAGATTTGGAGGTGAGGTCTTTTGAGTTTTAGCTTTCTAATTGGTCCTTATGGTCCTAATTTGTTTTATGGCTTACTTTCCTTTTGAGGCCAAATATGGTGATACATGTGTGTGATGAAGCAAAAAACCTTAAAGAAGATTTTGTTTGTCCTCGAGATCTTTTGATTTCCGAAATGAAATACTTCGCTGAATATCTATCAGTGGATGCCCAGCGCTGGGAAGAAGTGGACATTTCGGTGCACTGTGACGTTCACATCTTTGACTGGTTGATCAGATACGTTAAAAGGAACACCAAAGATGGTGAAGCTTATGAAATCCCTGCTTTAGGTAAAATAAAATATGTTGAGCATTTAGAATCATTAATCATTAATTGGTACAGACCATAATGTTTTTGCTACAATTCAGCCACAGTCTCTTGTTTCTATCTAACAAGTAAAACTTTTCAGTTGTTAGAAGAATGTTGCAAAAGCAGCCCTTAATGCTGGCACTTTTGAGGAAACATCCTGGTGGCTGAAGTGGTGAAAAAGATCTGAAGTGGTGTGGGATCTGATGGTTTTAATGGAGGCTTTTCAGACCTATTCTGAGCAAAAACTGAGTGGAAGTTTTACAACAGTAATGATTGTTTTCTTAGGTTTTGTTTTGTTTCCCTTCTGCTTCCCAGTTGTTCAGTTACAGTATTTTCTAAAATTTCAATGCAATCTGGTGAAACAGTGGAAGAACTTTTCCTGTATTAATTTTGGGCATGTTTTTAATGTAAAAACCTTTCATTAACATTTCTTAAGAACTATGAACAAAACTTGAATATTGTCACAATAAATGCAGTTAGAGAGAGCAAAATCTCACCTGGATATGGTGGCTAGTAATGGAAGTTAATCTTTCTGTCTAATTGCTTAGTCACTGTATCCTTGTGAATGCACTTCCTAGTAAATTGCACGTATAGTTGTGTTCTGGCCACTTGGATGTTAAACAAAAATTTATTTCATAAGATGGGAAACATTCTACGAATTGGAAGATGTAATAATGAGTTGATTAGTAGAAAATTCTTGTCAGATAAATTCTAACTATGCCAAGGGAGGGATGTGATATTACCACGTAAGAGTTCATGTAAAAAAAGCAAACTTTTTTGTTTGTTGCCTTTTAGAACCAGCAAATGTCATATCAATTCTTATTTCTTCTGAGTTTTTGAAGATGGATTCATTAGTAAGTATTAAGAAAGAAGGATTCTGTGCCTTAAGGATGCAAGTAAAATTCAAGTACCTATGCTCTTGCTATTGTGTAAACAGATTACGAGACATGCAGTAAGAGATTTTGAGATTTCTGTCACCTTTCTCATTTAAGACACCTAATATTTGCAGAATCTCAGTGAGGACATAGAAATAACTTTTGCAAACTTTCTAAATGTGGTAGTGGAATCCTGGATTTGCCTTTTGATGACTGATTGAAACAACATCAGAATCTGATTTACAATAAGATACTTCTGCAACTTACGACCTGCTTCAGCTCTGTATAATTTGTCTATTGACTTGTTTGTTAATACTTTTGTCAAGATCTGTCGTTAGGGTGAGCTACAATTAAATACATAGCAAGTTTAGCTATTTAAATTGAGATCCAGGCAATGCTATATATAATGCATACTATGTTTCTCCTTTGCAAGCAAGTGAAAATTGTTACTGAAAATGAAACATCTGTGCAGTTTTCCAGATTTCTGTAAAAATATTTAGGAGGAGAATGCAAAAACTGACTCACTCAAGTTAATTCATAGTCTCTTTTAGGTGAACCTGAGACTTGCTTTCTGTTTTTTAGGTGTAACTGAAATAGTTGTTTAAAATACTAGACGCTATTAAAAAAAAAAAAAAAAAAAAAAAAAAAGCTTGAAGTAATTAGTGCACTTCTTTTGAGATATCTTTGTTTAGAATTCCTTACTGTTATTTTTAACATTTCTGTTTTTCCTAGGTAGAAAAATGTATTCATTATTGTCACAAAAATATGAATGCTATTGTAGCCACACCTTGTAACATGAATTGTATCAATGCTAATCTTGTTGCACATATTGCTGATCTCTTTACTCACAATGAACTGGAAGAGCTGAAGGACAAGAGAGACAAATTTAAAAGGTAACCTTTTGCTCTGAAATACACTACTGAAGTGCCATAGTACTTTTGAATCATTTTTCCAGAATATCTCTGACAGTGTAAATTTGGAGTGATATATAGAAGTATACACTCTGTGTGTGTGTGTGTATCTTTAACGCAGAATATGAAGAAGTGACTTCAGAGTTTAATATTAAAATTCTGAGCAAAAGAAAAGAGTTTTTATAGGAGACAAGGAAAAGAAAAGGCTGCACTAGGAGTATGAAATGGACAAATTATTCATGAATTCTCACATGGAAGCCAGGATTAGGGTAAGGAACCCCTTATTGTATGACATGCTCCTAACATCTGTAATTTGGTTTCAGCATCCTGCAATCTTTTTTGTGGAAGATATAACTTAGGATGGCTGGAATCTGGAAGAGCTGTGATGGAATATCTTTTCAGAAAGCGTATGTTAAGGACTCTGGCTTAGTCAGTGTCAAGAAAAGGGCCAATTATTGGAGGGCAGAGTGACAGACAAGCAAAATGAAAGTAAAAACCTACTTTAATTAGTAACAACTTTCAACTTTACAGCTATCAGAACTGAAGTTAACTGTAGTTTTACAGTTTATCTTCTGTTCAGGGTAGATGCTGGTAGCTTACATTGGTCAAAAAAAAAAAAAAAAAAAAGCCAAGAAAACTTAAAGGAAAAAAAATAAGGGATCTCTTTCCTCATATCTTCATAAAAGTAAGAGATGACCAGAGCAGTTATTTAAACACATTGAAAGAAAGAAAACCACATTAAAAGCTGAATTCTGAAAGAAACACGGTGACTTCTGCAAATCTTTGGAATATAAATCTCTCTGTATAAAAGAATTTTCAGGTTTTTTTTTTTTTTCTAATGAGTAATCTGTATTGCTGTCACTAATAGTAAACTTTTCTGCAAGAAGATTGAGAGACTGTTTGATCCAGAGTACATCAATCCAGACTCTCGAGGAAATGCAGCTACCTTATACAGGTGTGGTCTTATTTTTGCTATTATTTCAGTTGCAAGAACAGTCCCTGCAATTTGAGTCCCTGCTCTTACGCCAATATTTTATCTTATTTTTAAATATAGATGTTGTTTATGTAAAAAGCTGTTAACTAAAGAAACTGAAAGAAGAATTCCGTGTGTACCAGGAAAAATCAACATAGATCAACATGGGAATATTGTCTATGTTCATATAAGGTAATGGAAAAAAATGAATATAAATATACTTATGTGTTATTTTGAGTGATTATACAAAATACTGTATGTTTAGGATTAGATATTTGTGTTACAAAAGAAAGTCAAAGATGCATGTAGAACAGTATGAATCATCTTAGCTTTCTGTATTACCTAAAGGAAAAAAAAAAAAAAAAAAAAAAAAAAAAGGTGGGAATGGGGAAGATAATGATGAAACTCAGTAATCAGTGCCGCAGCTGCAATATGGAAAAACTACAGCCAGGATTAGTGGGAGGGCTTTTTGGTTGTACTTCTTTGCATAAAAAATACACAGCTAATTGTTTCATCAAACTGTTCCTAAGATATATATGTTGCCAGTAGACAAATGCAAATTAAATGCTGCATTTCTATGAGATTAATTATGGAATGCTGGATAGAATCATTAAGGTTGGAAAAGACCTCTAAGATTATCTAGTCCAGCCTGTGAAAGCAAAGAAACGCTGAAAATTATATTCTAGACTGGTTTTCTACTGTCCATTCAAATATTCAGCCTGCAAAAAGACTACCATAAATAAATGTTGCCAGTCATTTTCCTGTTGAAACAGTATTTATCAAAGGAGCTTCCAGGTCCTGTTCTGTAAGTGTGCCTTGATCATTTGGCACAAATATTTAACTTAACTCCATCTGTTTGAGCCTTCAGCTAGAGTCTCTTAATGAAGATCAATGCATAATGAGCTAGAGTTTTCCTTCCCTCCATTTCCACATATGCTGTTTAAGTAAAGGAGTAGGAAATTAGTAACAGGAGATCTTTCCCAAACTATCTATTTCTTTCTGAACAACCAAAATGTTTCAGTGTCAGCCCTCTAGATAACATATTCATTTAGTTTTATCTACCATAAGTAATTTCAAGGTGTGGATCAAGTTCTACCTGACAGTCTAAATAGTACCAAATTTGTGACCTTTATGCCCTGACACATATTAGGATCTTTGGTAATTAGACTGTTAAAATTGTGTTACTTTGCTTATGTTGATACTGTGTAGTTGCTGTGCAATTCCTAGCATACAAGTACAGTACAGATTTTAAAAGCTATTCAGAGGATTTTTTAGATTCTAATTATTTGCCTTGTGGTACTTGCAACTTATTTTCTACTAGAAATTCATCTACTGATCCTAAGATGAAGTTAAGCTCACTACTGATGAATTCAAGCTTAAGATATAATACAATCCCATCTTTAAGGTTTTAAAAATGGGTCCTCTAGTGATACCCAGAGATAACATCCATTTGGAAGTACTGCTTGCTTAGTCGTGGTTAGATGAGTGTATATATAACAAAAAATGGTTCTGGCCAGGATTTAAAACTGTGGGAAAACAGTATCTGATCTTTCTGAAATAACGTGCCAGTGTTGATTGTTTTTTCTTTTTAAATTATAAATTATACTTGTCATTGTATTACTGGGAAGGACCCAGTAGTCTATAATACACGCTGTTTTTTGAGTCTAGAAGTCTCAGATGCATTTTTTTTTTTTTTTAAGTCTCCTATTTTCAAACTTTAATTCTTAACTGATTCCCCTCACATTGTGTACGCAAGTGTATACTACGTCTTAAAATAGAATGGTAGTGCTACACTTCTGGTGCACAACATTATTTAAAGGCAGAGAACTGCAATATCCTTGGGCTTGTTTGCATGAGCATGTTTTGACTTATTCTCCTCTCTATATTGAGTTTCTTCTGTTTTATGGTTTTCTTGATTTCTAAAAGGCTCAATATTTCTCTTAACATACAGATTTGCTGTATGTAGCGCTTGAGATGAAACAAGCTTAATTCCTTGTTATTAGTAAGCTTAGGAGGTTGTGAAAGAACATAGGCATTTTTGCCATGATCTGAATGTAACGATTGACCCCCAAGGTATCCTTCCAGTTCCAAACTCTTATGTAGGATTTTCATTAGTGGATGTTTTGTTCCGCCTCTTTTCTACTTCACTTTCCTGGTGGCTGAATCAAAACAGTTTTATTAACTGCATGCAACCTGACATTGTACTTTTTCAGAGATAAAACCTGGGAAGTCCATGAATACTTAATTGGCCTTCATGAAGAACTGAAATCTTGGCAGGATGTTTATTGGCGTCTCTGGGGGACTGTCAATTGGTTGACCTGCTCAAGATGTAACCAAGTGAGTACCTTTCCATTTTCACTTGTTTGTTGGTAACTTGTTTGTTGTGGGTGAGCTTTGAGGCTGCATCAGAGATTAAAACAGTTATTGCTTCCTTCTCTTTGACTAATTTTGTCAGATAGCGTTCAGGGATTTTTATTTTATTGGTGGGAGATGTGATTACTTACATTATGAGAATTATAGATCCTGATTCATTACTTTTGAATACTACTTTTTTCCCATCGTTTGCTCTTTCCTTTTTGTTCTAGCCACTAAAAGCAAAATGACACTAAATTAGAATGTATATTCTCTGATTTCTCAGGTTTTAGTGAGTGACGCATTCTATGGTTGTAGAGTTTTTGCATTACTGGGTGCGTGACAATAAAGTTTGCACTACAAAGAATGTATGTCCAAACTGACTTCTGAGGTAATCTCACCTCTCATTATGTCTCTTCTTACTCTTGTGCAGTCTTTCCTGTGTACTGAATTCTCCCATTGCCAGTACCATCCACAGCCAGTTCTTTATCCAGGTGTAGCAAGTGCTCTGGGGTCAACTGGGACAGGAGTATATGCATGTTGCAACCAAAAAGTACTTCGATTTGATCCTACTACCCTCCCAAAGGTACTTCGGTACTGGCTCACTTTTTAAAGAACATAAGAGAGTAATGTCTGAAAGACTTTTTTTTTTTTTCCAGTGCAATAACAGCATGTGTAGTGCAAGTCATCAGTGCAAGCAACGGGTACCATCTATTCTGTCTTCATACAGTTTGACCATGTGTAATGCTAAAATCAGTAGTGAAACTGTTCTCTAAATATTGTTAACCCTATCTAAACAGTACTATGCTTCTCCAGAATCTCTTCTATAATTTTCTCTTATCTTCAGCAAGAACAGAATTGGATCACCTGTAGAATCAAAAGGTCATCTGTATAGTTTAAACCATAAGAAAACTTCTGAGTTTTCAGTTAGGATATTTCTAGAAAGCAATTTTTGTTATTGTAATTCCCAAATAAGTTCTTCCCATTTACTCATTTTTATGTTGTATATGTATTGCAGGGCTGTAAGGTGAGAGATCACGTGACTTGTTTACCTTCCGGAAATGAAGATGGGGATTCTTTGCCATCTCAGACCACTAAAATACTGAATGATCTGCTCCATCACAGAGATGTTATTGTTGTTCCTTTTACTAAGGATGAGAATAGGTAAGAGTGTTGTATTGTTACTGAAATAACTTAGTCTTTAAAGCTTAACATGTTCATGTTACACTTAAGTAAGTTTCTGTATTTTTAAATGAGTGACATGGTGCTTGGTAAAGGTGACTTTATTTGGAAAAGAAAGAACAAATACTGCTGCTTTTTGCATTCAGCCTCCTTAACCATTCATTCCACTACTTATTTGTATTTTAATGGGTTCTTATCAAAATGTTATGTGGCTTACTTGGAGGCTTTTTTCTTTTGATACATAATGAGTAAAAACAGATTGATTCCAAATTGTGAAATGGAAAAAAAAAACATTATTTTTGTCCCACATCTTTCCCTAAGTGACTCTGGTATTGGGCTCTGTGATGAAAAAGGCATTGAATGTGATGTGCTCGTAGAACCAAACACACCGTGGGGCCCCAAAACTGCAGAAATCAATGCTGTGAGTGACTACTGATATTATTTCCCCTTCTTACTGATAATGAAGAATCCTACAAGAGTACTTTGAAGGATTCAGTAGACAACTTTAATAAATGAAATATGTTGCAAGAGGAAGAGATGCAGTACTGAGCCTTGCAGAGTGGCATTGGCTAGTGGAGGTATAAAATGCCTATTTGGCAAAAAGGCAAAACTCTGCTCTACAGAAATATTTCCTATGTATGTGCTTTACAGTCCATTTATAATCTGATGGTATTTAAGGAACCAGTCATATTCCTCAATACATCACATGCTAGACATTATTTAAATATTTGCCACCTTCGTTTATCTACAGATGTATCTGAATATGTCCACGTGGCTTTTATAAACTCATAAACTAACAGTAATCTATTGAGATTTTTTGTTTTTTTGTTTCAAAAATGTGAATGATCTTTCAGAAATATAATTCCTTTTGTTGTCATGCTGATGTCAGATCAATAGAGATGTTTTCTAAGCCAGGTTTAAGTAGATTGTATATCTCTTGAGTTGAAGAGGCCTTTCATGCTAAGATAAGTTTTTGAAGATCTGCACTCATTATGGAACTTCTGGTAACTCAGCAGTCCTTACTGTAGCATGATGCTGAGTGTGAAAACTTTAGATGGCATCAGTAACTTTCCAGCAACAAATGCAGGAGGCTATTAAATCTTAACTCCATACCATTCTGATACATGACTGTCCTTTCAGCTCTAGACTATTTTTTTTTTGTTTCAATGACCTGTAAATATTTTTAATGCAAAGTTTAACAAATGGAAGTGTGACTCTAAATTGACTGCATTTAAATGATTAGTTGTTCACAATCTGTTTGCCCAATTTATCATTCCATGAAAATCAAAAGTAAAAATAAGTAAAGTAAAAAATGTGAGTAGGTCTTCTAGGAGTTACTAGTGTAGATTGCTGTATGTTAGCATACCACTCCTTTTTTAGGATTCCACTCTTTTTTTTTTTTTCTAATAATTGCTGTTAATTTTTACGTGTTTTTCTCTTATTCGCTAGTTTCTTTCTCTGAAGAACTGGACTTTACAGCTGGTTAGTAAAACGTTTTGTTCACATTTGCTCTAGTTAACTTTGATTTTTTTTGTGTGTGTGTGTCTTGTTTTCTAAGTAATTTAGACAGAAGTTCATTTTCATTTTTTTTACAAGGAACTATGAAGTCTGTGTGAAGTGCTAATTTGGCCTGAATAGAAATAAAAATTTCCTTTAAAATGCTCTGTCAAATGACAGCAAACAACAGACCAGCAATGCACATGTGTTCCTCGTAGTTCATTAGGCTGACAGAAATGTAGATCTTAAAAAAGAATTTTTGAGTGCCTGTCTCTCTCATGGCTTGTTAGAGATGCTTCATGTCTTCTTTATGATGCTGCTTTATTACAAAAAATCTTCTATCAGAGTTGAATGACTAGCCAAATACAGGAGGTGTGTAGTTGCTCTTCTAGCCATATAGCACTTGTCATAATCGTGTCTGTTTTAATATGTAAATGCTTGAGAATAGTAGTTTACTTCTGTCACTCTTGATGATTTGTTCTGCAGTCTCATGTTCCCAGTGTTCTGCAATAATCTTTTTGAATTTGCAGGTCATGTCAACCCTTGTTGTTTCTCATGCATTACTAGGCAATCATGATCACTTAGAAATGTGTGTTTATTTCCAAACAATGTAAACATCACATTCCTTAACATATTTCTTATATTGTACTGAAACTACTACCACTTGCCATTGTGGTCCCATCTCTTGCAATATTGGAGTCAGTGGTTTATTATGATGTGTAGAGATATTTTAAAAAATAGTAAATAAATAGATATGTGCTCTGTGTTACTTGACTATGCTGAGACAGCAGTATCACACAGTTGCAAGATAGAGCAAATCTTGGGAGATCCCCCCCTCAGTAAACCCTCTAGTTTCTTCTATGATTACATGGCTAGCTCAAATTTTTGCTATTGAAACTTGAACTTTCTTATTTTTCTTAATATGTTAATTAATATTTCCAGCAATATATTGAATGCTAAATGTGGATTCATACAATAATAAAGGCTGGAAGAGATCTCTGGTAGTCATCTCAGATATTTCCTCCCACTCTTAAAGTTAAATTTAACTTGAAAACTTAACACTTTACTCATATCCAGACAAATCTTTGGTTTCTCTGAAGATGGAAAGACCACAGCCTCTCTTGGCAACCTGCTATGTTTTATTGTCTGTATTTGCCAGAACACAAAGATTTGAAATTACTTTCTTAACGTTTGAGAACAGTTAAGAAAGTTAGGTTTTCAGACCTAACTTCTCAAACACATTAGTGAGTTACCTAACTAAGATGTGAAGCAAGATTCAAAGGCAACTCATTTGGGACAGATTTAGTGCGTTACTAAGTAGGAATCAAGCCTCATATGACCTGTGGCATTCTGCTTCTGTCAATTAGAAACAGCAGTCATTGTTATCTGAAGAAGAGGAGTATACCACTGGTTCTGAAGTCACTGAGGATGAAGTGGGGGATGAAGAAGAAGTGTGCAGGAAACCAGGTACAGCAATACAAAGATATCGTAGTTGTCCTCCATGGAATTTAAAGATAAAGACTCAAGGTAGTAGATTTCTTCTGTAAGAAAGCTTTAAATGTTAGGAAATACTTCTTTAATTTCAATTTTATTTTCACTATTTTCTTTGTGTAGCTACAAATTATTACCCTTAGTGTCATGAAAAAAAAATTGGCAAACAAGGGAAGTGGCAACTGTTCCCATCCAGGATGTCCTCCAAGTTGATTCAGGGCTTATTTTGTAGGACAGGTTATCAAATGACTTGAAATTTTTTCCTAGGTAAATTTTGGAAGAAAAAAAATGTAGTGGCTACACAATTGATAGACATGGCTAGAATTTTGTCTGCATTGAAAATAAGCTGCATATTCTAAAATTATTTTTAGAATAAAAATAACCATCTCTTTATATTTTTAGAATAAAAAAAACCATCTCTATTCTCCATATTGGTAACATTTGAACTTGAGCACTTCGTTTTTTGATATTTTGGAGGGATTGTTTTTGTCTTAATTCAAATTTAATTTTTTTTAAGTGCTAACTTTTTTGCAACTTGACTTTAAACTTACTTGATCTGATATCCTTCAGATTGTTGATGCAAGCAATATGGTCAGAGATGCAGGTTGTATGTGCACTTGATTTTAAATTTACTTACAATCTAAAATTGAAACTGTGGTTGTGTAATTTTAAATATGTATTAGTTACTGTATGCTTCTAATGGAAAAGAGTAACTCGTGTATTAACCTTCCTGCAATACTAACAAATTAAAAACAAGTTCTTCGTTTGTTTTCACTGTAAAGGAATAGGGGAGGAAAATCCTTTTGTAGCTATATAGTTATAAAATTCAGAGTATCTGTGATTGTGTCAGTCAGTAGATATTTCTTCAATTTGCAGGGAGAAAGGAGAAACTAAAGAAGTTCTATAAACACCCAAAGAAAGGGGCTTCTTCACCTAGTATTCAGAAAAAGGAGAAGCCATCTGACAAGGTGAAATCAGAGCTGTGAACACAGCCTGTGCTAATGATGAGAATTTTTTTTATGTTTTAAGATCATGTGTTAATATATTTTTTTTATCTTATAGCCAGGTTCCCGAGATGCATCTCCATTCACGTAAGTAATTTTCAAAGTTCTTGATAACATATTGTAGTATATCCTTTCTTGGAAATGGTTACTGATAACATTGCATGTATCTTTCTTTTTTAATCAGTGTAAGCATGCAGCAGAACAAATGGGATGCCTCCAGGTCACTAAGATTCAACCAAGACGCTCAAAGAGAAGACGGTCTGTTCTTTCATACAGCTATGTATTGTATAGCTGTTATGTTAATGCTATACAAAGAAAATCATTATTTCACATTTAAAATGGCTACTTTTTCAAAATACTACAATTCAGCTTAAGATTGAGTTTTATCTCAGATAAAATGAAGTTTTTTCTTAGTGCTCATCTGTAGGAAAACAGATTTCAGCTACTTGTTAGTAATCAGCTTTATCCAAGCCATGCAGCAATCTCAGATTCTTAAATAAATAAATAAATAAATAAAATATTTATATAGATATCTATGTAGCTGGGAACTCCTGAAAATATTAGTTCAGAATTTGATTGGCATTTATTAGCAATCTCATCTATTCTACAGGAATAAAAAAATCTGTGTCAGGAAAATGGAAAGAAAACCTACCATAATATGCATAGTCTTGCATACAGGGTGAAATATAAATGGGTATCTTTGGACCCTCAGACTAGGAAAATATTTGGAAGGAATTCCAAGTTTACAGAAAAAAAGATTCCATTCAAATTGTGTTAGCATCATTTACATTCTGTATTTGGAAAGTCTGCACATAACCTACAGAGATTCTAATTGTGTCCTCTGATGACTGTACAAGTAAGCAAAGATTTTTTTCCTGCATCCTTGTGTTATTTATTGCCTGGATATATAAGAAGTAATACATGTATTTACTTCTATCTTCTTCCCTGTCTTCAGAATTCTAATGTTTAGAATTATATTAATTTATACAGCTTTTTATATCTTTGAGATTTCTGTGTATTTTTGCTGTTTTGAAAGTCTTTTCCTCAAAACTGTTCCCATATATATATATATATATATATATATTTTATCTCACTGCAATTCGTCAGACTGATTCTGCTCTCTGCCTAGAATGCTGCTGAAGCTAGATTATTCATCAGAATATAGAGTATTGTTGTTCAAGACTTCTATATGAACTGAGAAACAAAAAATTACTTCTTGCAAATAGGATCTAACTAAAGTGTGTTTTGTGTATCATTCTCTTTGTGCTTGGTAGTATGGAAAACCTCTGTTCTAAAATAGTATTTTTTTTTGGCAGACCAGAGGAGAATGTCTGAGATTACAGGACACTTGATAAAAATCAGACTGGGAGACTTTGGTCGAATCAAGTCAAGAGACAGCAAAGAAGTAAGACTTGTCGTAACGTAGTGATTATTGAATTGAAGCAGGCCTTTGTAACAAATGTGTAACACAAATCAAAACACCATTCTTTCAATTACTTAAAAAGAATTGAGTTTAATCTTCATTTTCTTCTGAGCGTGATTTTTTTTTTTTTTTTTGGTAAAGGAGTTAAATAACAATTATTAAAGTTCACTGCCTTTAAAAATTAAACATGGAAAATAGGATGGTTTAAAAATGTTTCAATACTGAGTTGTGATAATGAAAGAAAGTATGCTATAGATTCTCCTGAATATTAATTATTTTTATGAAAAGACACCAATTAGATTGGAATAATGTCACAACTTCTGTTTGTTTTGGTGTGGGTTTCTTTTGCATTTCAGTATGCAGGAGGTATTTATTCGAGACTGGAAGCTCAGATAAAGGCTTCAGCACAGGTCAATGCACGACAAATCAACACTGAGAAGAATGCCAGGTAAGACAAAATGAAAAAGCAGGATATGAATTTCTGGGAGGGCTGGGGGTGGAAACTGTTTTAATTTAAGTGTGCTTCATTTCATACACTTTCTTGCATCAATATCCCTTCTAGCAGACTAAATATATATGATGTGAAACCTTCCTTTGTAAAATTATGTGGCCAGCAGGTGAGTCTCTAGATGCTGACAAACTTTTAAGAATAGACTGGATGCTTCAAATAATTTGCGAATGTTCAAAAAATGCATGTGACTACTACTGCAGAATTAGTGATTTCATAAGAAGTTATTTGACATAACAATTTTTTGAATTGTTGTATTCATTGCATACCTTTGTATGAATATACAGTTTATGGCTGCAGGTACACTGACAGAAATGCAGCTTTCTCAATATAGTTGTGAGATTTTTTTTTTTTTTCTCAGATTACACTTTAGCATGAAAGTAGTTTCTAACAAGTAGTAAACCAGAGAGCTGACTTTGTAATAAGTAAAACATTCTAGATATGATAACCTGCATATGTTTTTTCTGTGCTCTTAATCCAGGTCAAAATCCCGTTTTGGTCAAGGTCGTCCAACATAAAGACTCATGAAAAAATTGTAGCCAAGAATACATTACTACTTCCTGAAATTGTACGGCACTCTTGATATATGGAGAATATGCATCTCCAGAAGCCTTGACTTGATTCTTTAAGCCTTGTATATTATTGTGTATGATAAATGAACGTAAATCCAATAAGATCTGTACTTATTTTAATTGTAAATATACTATTTCTTAAATTTAAATTTAGTTGCTTTTCAGGCTGTTGTTTTGAAATGCATAGAAAATATTTTATAAACCTGCAAAGTTAACTTATTCAACTAACTTTTTTGTGGGGGAAGACATAAATATGCCTTCCAATATGAGAGAAATACTGGAAATGAAAAAGCAAGACTACTGACTTCTGAATACATTCAGCAATGTTAACATAAGTCACGTGGAATATATGTATATGTTACGTTGTATTTGGTAGGACATTTTAGGTCTTTCCTCTAGGGATTTGCATTTGAAGTCAGTGATAGTGCAATATCTGTGAGTTAGACTAGTTAACGCAGAGTTTTACTGCAGTTCTGAGGCTTCCTTTCATACATCTACACAACTCTCATTCATGTGAAGGTGGCTAACAGATGGAAACTAGACCTTCAAAGATTATTTAAATGCCTCATTGATTCAGATCTTGCATGTGAAACACTTGATTTACTTTTATGTGAAGTTCACGCTTACTCGCATACCATATCTGTTTCCTCTTGCACAATACCATGTTTGGTTCCCTTCTAATGCCCAGACACAGCTGTTCCATCTTTCAATGCTGTACCACTAAATTGCTCAGAGGATATGCTATTAACTAGGCATCTTTCAGTTGAAAGGAATCATTCTGAAGAGTTGTCCATATAGATGTTTTGGGTCTAATTTTATTTTTCTGAAACCTGCCTCAATAGTACTGTTTAGAAGTCACTTTCAAGTTCTGTAATTGCAACAATAGAGTACAAGTTTGTGTGTATGTAAAATACAGGGCTACCAAAACGAACTAATTTGCCTCAAAAATAGTTCACATATTAGCAAAGAGAATAGCAATAACAGTGGCTGAATTTGAGTAAACATATTCTGATCTTTTTGAGACAAGTAGTAAGAGCACTCAGGGAAAGTTTGTTCTGGACCACAGCTGTAAAATGTGAGTTTGGAGTTAAGTCTGCAAGGTAGTGGGATGTGGGGGCACGGAGTTCAGGCTGGGACAAGGAGAGGGAGAACGTGATTGTAATGCATTCTTCTCTCCATTCAGGCTTTTTTGTGTGTTTTGTGGCTTTTCAGTGGGCACTAGAAGACTGGGATACCAATGCTTGACAATACTGCTTACAAGGTGGAAGATTTTTATTAAAAATTAAAATGAATAAATGCTGTTTATTTCTGTATTTTGTCCAATGCAAATTCAGAGCACAATAAAACCAACAGGCAAAGCTGTGGATTTCAATGGCTTTGATTTTTGGGCAGGTGTGCTCCAATTATATTAAATAAATAAGGCTTTGTTAATGTGCTGTGTCTGTTTGTAAGTAGTAAAGCTGCTTTAAACACTTACAGTAAACACTGGAAGACTGACTATTGTTTTCTTACGGAAAAATCTGCAGAGAAAAAAAAAAAAAGTAATAGCATAAGTGTTTTCTACAATACTGTGACTTCTGAGAATTGTTCAAATGGTAAACTTTGCTGTGAAAGTTGCCAGCTTGTGTATGTGTGTATGTATGCTTATTTTTCTTAGAACAGTTAGCCAAAAATGGAGGGAAGATGCTGCTGGTTTTGTTGCAAACTCTGGTTTTATGTGCCAATGTTGTTATATTTTTTTCAAAAGTATTTTGAGCATATGACAATAACATGCATTGTGTGCAGCCCTTTTTCCCCTCTTGCCAACCACTTTTTTTTTTTAAATTTTGTATTAATTTTGAAATTGTCTTGGTTTAATGGAAATAAAAGTAATTCATTCAAGAGATTTGTGGGTATTCTATGGATGCTTATAAGAAATGCATAAATATTATGACTTCAGTCATGCTTGTGTGTTTGTGATTTAGATGCAGCATCATGATGTGGATGTTTTGTCTGTCAAGAAAAGGATATAGTTGAAGGCTGAGCTATCCCAGATATACAGGAACCTGAAAATACTTACCTGCATTTAGTTTTGAAGTTGGTTCCTGAGCAACCTACCCTGCAGATTGCTTAAGTGAGCAAAATGTCAGACTAAGCTATGCTTAAAAACATCCTTAATTTTGCTTCCCACTGCTGCAGTACTGATCATACTATTTAAATAGTCTGATAGATCTGTAAATAGGATTATTTTCCATTATTTGTTTGTTGAAATTGCAATATGTAGGTCCATTTTATGTGCAGTTGGTATATAGGTAAGACTACAGCATGTCACATACACGTGTGTTTAAACTTGCTTGCTGTTCTGTGGAGCTGTGCCTGTTTGCTTAATGTTTCAAAATATTGGAGAAAGGGACAGAATATTAATTTTCACCACAGTAATGGCTTCAAAACAAAAAAAAAGTAGAATAAGAGAAACATGAATATACAGTTACCCCAGTAAGCAGTCATAAACCTGAATAGCATGAGCATGTTTCACATGATAAAGTTACAAACATGAATATTTGATTGCTTGAATCTTTATTAGTATTACCCATGAGTATAAAATTACAAGAGGTTCTTACACAGACACATCCTTTTCCAAAGTAGATAAGCACAGTTTCAGGGGTCTCCTCAGGATACACTTTAAAATGGCAGGTATTATACTCAGTGTCATAGAATCATAATATGGCCTGGGTTGAAAAGGACCACAGTGATCATCTAGTTTCAGCCCCCTGGTATGTGCAATCCACAGCCTCCTTGGGCAACCTGTTCCAGCCTCACCACCCACTGTGTGAAAAGCTTCCTCTTACTATCTAACCTAAACATCCCCTGTCTTAGTTTAAAACCATTCCCTCTTGTCCTATCACTATCCATAAGCTTTGTCAAGACAAATGTCTTGAGCTTTGATAGTATAACTCTCAAAAATAAATCCTTGTTTTTCCCGTACAGCACATGCACTAACATCAACAGTTTGCCATTCATTTCTGTTTTGTTGAGCCCATACTCTATGTTCTAATGGACAGATTGTAGCCCCACTGTGAATAAATCCCAACACAGTGATTGGGTATATGGTATGTACTGAAGCATTGCATGTTATTAGGACAAAGGCTGCAGCATGATTTTTAACAGGATTGTAAGTAAAATACCATAGATGCCAGCAGGATTGAAATTCTCTTTCAAATTTATTTGCATTATCCTAAATCACCTTTTGAATTTCAGTGGTGAAGTACCTCCTTCACCTTCTCTTACAATTGCTGCTACTTTAGATTGTATCCATATTTGAGCTTGCATACAGCTAAGAGCTAGGAAAACATTTTCTTGGATTATGGCAAGTGAATCTACAATTAATTGTTGGTCTTTCATATGAGTCCTCTCCCTTTGAGGTAATACATTAGATAAGAGACTCTGGTTGGTTCCCAGTGCTGGTAGGGAAGACTGCAAGGGGTGCTGTAATGCATACAGGTCACATGTTGCTGTGCTTAATTTATTTATGAGCATTTCAGCACCTGTACTACTTACTGCTCCCAGTCCTGCTCTTGTTATGCCAGTCACATGCTCCATTTAGTCAGGGAAAGTGCCCACCTGTGTAGCCACATTAGCCATGCTGCAGAGGATGTGTTTAGAAATGGTGAGCAGGTTGGTTTGATTGCTGCAATACTAGTTTTCATCAACAACTTTACCCTTTTAAGAGACCATGATGGATTAAACAACATCCATTGTTGACCTGTATTTCTGCTTGCATATGGTTCAATCTCATAACGCTGCGAGGACAAAGCCTTTTCCCCATCCTCTACTACTCAGTAGTGGGGTGACTGGGAGGAGTCAGTGTAGGCAGGGTGGTTGTTCTGTGTTTGATAACGATTTTAAATTTGAATGATCATCCAATCCCAGAGCACTGCTAACGAGAGACAAGCTACATTAACAGGTTGCATTAAAGTAAAGTTCTACTAATAGTCCCACCTTTCATTGGCACACACTTTTCTACCTCTTGCTCCTGTTTTGACATCAATCACAGAGATTTGAGATACTTTCTCATGGTTGGACCCACTGTTCACCCAACACCCTATCTTTAGTTCTTGCCCTGCATTTCCAGGAGCTGGGGAGTCAGGTATTCAGAGCATGTGCCAGCTACATTCATTTTTTAAGTACATTTCATTTCAAGCCTCTATTATAATTAGAATTTGGTTTCATACTTCTGGAACACCCAACACAGGAATGGGACAACAGCTACCCAGTGAGCACAATAGGATCAGCATAAATGATTGCAAATATCAATCCAAAGAAGATTAGGGCGCTGAAGATGCCACAGGCATCCTAGAAAAAGGAACAAGGTGGGAAGGGAACTTGTGGGGTACTGTGGTAGAATCAGCATTTGTTAGCATGTGAAAAACAAAAGTGAGAGAACTTCCTGGTCCCAGAGGAACCAAGGTTAGAGTATAGGTGAAATCTAGCAGTGGTTAATTTTGTATGTTTTCCTCAATGATCTCAAGCCTTCCAGTTTATTTGTTTAGAGGTTCAGGGAGGGTCAAAGGGACAGGCCTGATGTTGGACAGATTAATCAATACTGGTTGGACCGAGGAGTGGCTGTGTCCTGTTACATGAACTCTCAAATGTAGTTGCAGGCAGAAGTGAAGGGATGTTGGGATAGAAGGCATTAAAACTGGGACATCCATGTATTCCTCAGTGGTCACTGACTATTGCAGCAGCTTCAGACAGTCAGGAAGCCCAACTGTGCTTCCTCAATTTTAGGAACTTCTTGGGGAGGCCATTGAATTGTTCCACAATACCATTAGCCTGTGAGTAGTAAAGGATGTGAAAAACCTGTTAAATACCTTCCTCCTGTGCCCATTCCTATACTATCCCTGAGGTGAAATGAGAACCATTGTCTGATTGTATTGAATTGGGTTTTGGAAGGATGCTAAACCATTTCTTTAGGGCCTTAACAGTTCTTTCCCATGTTGCTCAAGCAAAAGGTTTGGCCTGTAGTAGGCCAGAGACTATTTCTGCTTTGACTAGTTAATGTTGTTTGCCTTCAGATTTATGAAAAACATAATCAGCCCATACATGCTTCCTTCCCTTAAGTGGAGAGGGTCTTCCTGTAAGGGATGTTTGTCTGAGCAGGTGCAGCATAGTTAACAAGCAGAAATGCAAGTATGACATTTCTCCACACTAACGGATCAGCCTTGAGCTTGGCCCCCCCAGTGCAGATTGTGAGCACTGATTGCCTTTTTATATGTAACCTTTCTACAAGTCTCTCCTAGTTGTCACCGTCTGGTTCTCTCTGTCTCAAGGGGGAAATCCTGGCTAGTTTGTCTGCCATATTGTTTCAGTGACTTGCTGGAGTCCTGTTATCTGGGTGGGATGTGACTCACACACAGAAAATAGACCATGTTTGGCAATAGCAAGAATCTCTTGCCATTTATCCTTCTGCCATATTATTTCCAATCGTTTTGCTCCCAGAAAGGGAACTACTTTGTGCAAACTTGAGGACAGCATACCAACCAGTATAAATTTGCACATGTTCAGTGGACTCTGATTCATGCTGGAATACACTCCCTGACCTGAGCACTTCCTTATCCCTTAGTGACGTTAATGAAATCAATCCTTATCTATAGGACCACAGCATGATATTTTCATACTTTTCCTTTGTGCTGGGCAGATGTCTGTGAACCAGACATTAGTAATAATCATCTTTGTCATCTCCATGCATATACTCAGTTTTTATCAGATGGCGGGGAGGGGTCACTGAGTTTTCTAACTTGTCTATTTGGGCTCTCACATTATCCAGGCTTTCGTTTGGAAATGCCATTTCATTTATCAACTCTTAGGGCTCATGGAAAGAGGACTGCTGAATGTTTTTCTTCCTCTAACGGCCCCCTAAGATCTTCTACCTACAAACATCTGTTGATTTTGAAGGTTTGTAACCAACTTTTCCAGCTACTGTATAATTTGAGTTTGTTGGTCACAGAATTGTACAGCAGCAGTAAGGGCAGCTCGTGGAATGATTGATTTTTCCATTTCCCTCCATCATATGGCCATCTTTGTGGAGGGAATGTATATGATCTGAGACTCCCTCTAAGTTGGACTAAATATTCTGTGCCCACTCCATCCCCATAGAGGAGAGTCTGACGCCGTGTTTTTCTGAGAGGCCAAGGAGAATATTCTCGTTCTCATTCTTCTTTTCATCAGGGATTGTCATGATGCCTCTCTTTGACTGACCTTAGAGCCCTGATCTCAGAAAAGAGTAACTGAGCTGGAAGAAAGCACCTTACATGTCAGCTTTGGACTAGGACCATCTCAGCTAAGAAGCTGTTGAAAAGGTTGGACAGCAGCGCCTGAGCTGTAGTTAGATTTCTATGCCTGTGTGTAGATGACCTTCAATTATCTTTTTTCTTTTTTTTTTTTTTTTGCACTGGGTTTATGTACAGTAATGGCCTGCCTCCTTTAGCTTTTAGGCTGTCTCTGAAGATACTGAGGGAGATCTTTCTGGAATTTAACAATTTATGGTCTAGTATGATTTATCATTGACCTTTCTACCAGAGGTACTAGAAAATACTGAAGCTGCTCTGCCTTTGCTGTGACTTGGAATATTTAGCAGTAGATCTTCATTAATGGGTTAAGATTCCAGCACTGAAATATTTCTGGTCAGGAGGATTTGTTGCTAGAACAATTTTTTTGACATAAACATGAGGTTATATAGCCTCTGATGTGGTACTGTGTCATAGAGATATATGTTATGCTATTCACTGAAAGCTAGAGGAAATTTATCTCACTGAAAAGTCTCTAGCCTTCTTTCTCCACCTGTCTT